ACCTTAACGGCTCTCCAATCCCACAGGTAGGCAATCCCAAGTACCTGGGATTCACCCTAGACAGGAGGCTCACCTGGAAGCCCCATCTGATTAAGAAGAGGAAACAGGCTAATCAAAGACTTCGATCCTTCTACTGGCTTATGGGTAGGAGATCGAAGCTGAGAAATCCTCATTTACAAGGCAATAATACGCCCAATGTGGACGTACGGCATACAGCTCTGGGGCACTGCGAGCAAGACGAATGTCCGAACTATGCAAGCTTTCGAAAATAGAGCCCTTCGAATCGCCACTGGGGCCCACGTCTATCATGACAATCGCACCATCCACGAGGTTCTCAATTTTCCTTGGGTCAAGGACGAGATCCAAAGAAGCAGCGCACGTTACATGCAGAGGCTTCATAATCACCCGAACCGGTTGGCCAGCTCCCTGCTGGACAACAGCGAGCAGCCCAGAAGACTAAAAAGGATCTCCCCTTACTACTCTAATTTACTACACCCCTTACTACACCCGCTGGACCTCCCCTTACTACTCTAATTTATTTCTACCATATTAATATTTAAAATTATCTATAAGTGAAGTTTACGTGATAACATTTAATGGTTGTGCCTAATGGACAGTTTTAAATAAACATTACCCTGCTATTACAAAAAAAAAAAAAAAAAAAAAAAGATCAACGAGTTGATTAGAAGTTTGATTTTGGGCTTCCTTCTGATAAGTGGAATCAGCGATATCAGGGCCGTTAGTTTCAACCGCGAACTTGGAAACAATAGTTTCCAAGAATTCAGTTTACAAATTTTTTAAAGATTTAACAAATTTTTTAAAGATTTAACAAATTTTTTAAAGATTTAACAAATTTTTCTTTATATTTTTGGCTGCAGCCTTCCCCTTTTCTGGGCCACTTTGATAAACTCGAGAAACTTTATGACAGCCCGACGAGTCGCCCATTATTTACCTCGCTATAATTGTAGGATGATTTCTTTATCTGTAATTGTCCATCCAGTAACTAAAAAATAAGAGATACTCACAGGCTGCCCATCGATGTTTTTGACAGATTCCAAAATAGCACTTTCAACTATTTCTCTCACTTCGAAAATGTAGTTCATATCCAGATATATCACGAGCATAAATTGGACCATACTTCGACTACGACTGTGCAGTTGCGACTGATTGTTTTTTAACTTTTAACGAGTGGGTAAACCAACACCTCGCTCAACCTTTGTTAGTTTATATTAAATCGACGCCGAGATCAAATTTCTGGGTAATAGCGCGCCCGGCACAGCGTTTTCAATACTTGGAACCGAACTCATTTTTTTTTTAAGATTAAAAATAACGTTATAGTATGCTTGGATTGGATTAAAGATGATTTACTCCGGTTATGTTTTTCATTTTATCTTTTTTGTCCTTGCATTCGGAATTTTTTAAATTAAAAAAAATATATATATCTTTGAAGATAAGTTTGGGGATGCCCCCAGTTTGTGGGTTGACCTGTGGTGAATCCGGTCCTGGCTGTCATATATCTGAACGATCGGAATTTGGTAAAACTATCATTTATTTATTTATTTTTGAAAATAGAAGCTTGGGATTTTTCTTACATTTTGTATTCTAAGAAATTATTTTTTTAATAAAATTTAATTATGCCTGATCATAGCTGCAAGGGTGTACCATCTTTTGATATAAATAAAGTATAGGCATTGAAGGCTTCGGTGCAAGTCCCCGAATGTACTTCGAAGTTTGTACTTAGGACTTTAAACTGATAAAAATTATGGGTTTTTGGGAAACTTTTACTTACATGTATTGTAAAATTCGCTTTTTTTAACATTCGTACGATTTTGGATACTATTAAGGATAACAAAGTACTATAAGTTCTCTCTGGATCCGGCCGTGTAAAATAACTTGTCTCAATAACTATTTTTTGTTGTCGAAAATAGTTGGAAAATAGTTGGTTTTAAACTAGTAACTAGTTTAGACCCTTATTCTCAATGCATTAGAGTTTAAAGCCGGTTTTCGGAAAAATCGTTATGCACTCCACTTTGGAATCGCTCCACGGAATATGTAGGAATATAGCCAATAAAATAGGAATATAGCCATTTGATCGATAATGAGACCCAAAATTCCCTGAAATTGGCCCGACTCGGCTATTATACATTTTGCATTTGATCGTTGGCCTTTGCAAAATGTGGAGGCTACTCGGCGGGCTCTGGACTTGATCTTCTGTTAGGAGGGGGCACTGTATCCATGCCAGTCCACGTTTCTGCACTGATTCTTCAGATTCTAGATGCTTGGAAGAAATCCGACTTGCAAATGAGCATGTTCAGAAAACAAAATCGCTTCATTCTAAAATGAAGGAAAGCGTAGAAATTATAGTATTGAAAATAATGAGTTTTTGGCGGAAAAACTTACATTATTGGCCCAGGGCATCCTCGATTTTTTTCACTAAGACAGTGGCCTCGTCAATTTTCTTATCCAGAACCGTAAAGAACTGTTCAATAGCCTCTATACGCTCCTTATAGGTTTTTTTTTATGGTGCCAATGGGCTAACTCAAGGATACCATATGTACGTGCTAAGGCGGCTGCGAAACCTACTATAGCACCAATCGGTCCAAAAATCAGGCCACCGATCACACCGAAAAAAAACCCACGAAAGACGAATCTCCTCATTTCCTCTGACTCAGAGGAAAACTCAGATCCTCTCCTGTAGTTCCTTCTCTCTGATCTTCTCTAGATCTTCTCTCTGTCGTAGAAGCCACCTGGTCCGAAATCATCGTGGACATCATGCTTTAACTCTTTAAATAGATTCCCGAGCTTAGCGGACTGGAAAAGCGTCGTCATGTTCCAGGTCACGTTCTTTTCCTGTGGCGAGAGGTTGCTAGAGCCTATGTATGTTGGGGATGAAGATGTCGAAGGTGATGTTGATGGAGGTTCACCACCCGAAGACAGAGGACACACAGTTCTCGTAGGTGAGTTTGGTTCAAATACCGAATCCTGGGCAGCTTATCCTTGGCGTTTCCCTTGTGTTCCAGCATGGCGGTATCAATCTCATCGATGGCCCCCTGCAGCTTTACAAACTTCACCTTATTGTCGATATTCGACTTGATATTATATTTCCTTAAGATATTCGACAAACTGTTTATACCATTTTGTATATCAACAAATTGGTTTTCATTGCACGTAACAAAATACGGAAAAAGGGCAAAAAATACAAGTACTATTGCCAAAAAGGCAGAAGGAGGATGCTTTTCCATCATTGCTCAATAAGAATTAATGCACCTCCGAGGAACTGGCTAATGCTAATGTTATATGTTTGGGTATATAATGTATGTATTATATACACATGTATCGATATGCATTGATTTTTCCGAAATTTAATTTCAACTTGTTTAATCTATTTTGTAATCTATTATATTATCATAGATGTTTTGGGGAAATTCCGGCAAAAAAATGTGTTTCTTATTTGGAAAAATGACTGAAGCCTAATGTTCGTTCAAATGTATTCAAATGCACCTAACAAAGTTCAAATGTATTCCATCATACCTATTAAATCCTTGATTCCCAGAATCACATATATAATATATATAATCACACATAATCACCTATATAATCGCATATACGTCTTTAGATTCATACGATCATAGAGACAATCGGATCATCGGTAAACATACAACAGCTGTGTTCATAGAACTAGCAATAAAATATAAAAGTTTTTGCTAATTTTTCGAGCCTTTGCCAGATTTTTTTTTTAATATTGTACTCTGTAATACAGACTACAGTCTGTATACTCTATTTTTGTCTTTAATCAATATTTTTGCACCAAATCACAAGCCTTTAGATGTTCATTGAAATAGAAGTTTCTCCTTTTCTTCGACAAAAAGTTCCAAGATTTGTTTTTATTTTCTGAAAAGTGACTTTAATTAAGTTAGCTTTTGTAATTTATTGGACAATACACTATTACTATGGGAAACATTTAATTTTCCCCATAGGAATAAGGGGAATAGATCGTTCATGGTTTTCTATGCCGTAAAATATGAATCGAAGTCCGAAGAACGAGGTTTTCGAGGTTTTTTGAAGGTCCGACTGAAGGGCACTGAAGCTAAGCTTATCCTTTTGCTTCCATATGCATCTGGGACTATTTTCCAGAGACTAATAGAGTAAAATGTGAATGCTCAAAGTCCACTACATATTCATACATACGTATACTTATAGAAGTACCATATAGGTATATATTATAATATAATTCAATGAAAATAATAAATAAATAAAATGTAATAAATGTAAAATAATAACACAATAGCTACCTAATGCATACCAGTTTTTTCCCTGAAAATATTGCTTTGCAAAATGTTGAATGAGCTTTGAATCTTTATCTTTGGGCGTTTTACATTTAATTATTTCGCATGGAAAACTTATGATGTGTTTTTTGTTTTTAATCAAAATCTCTATTAGATGTGTAACGAGAGCAGAAAATTTTAAACTAAGCGAAAACGTGCATTTGTTAACAGATAATTACCCGTTAATTTTATGAAAATTTAACAAAAACCCTCGCAAGAATTTCCTAAATTGCAATTAACGAGCTAAAGTCAACAAACACTTTTTAAAATATTAAATATTTTTATGTTTTTTTTCCGCTATAAGCTATTTAAAATATGTGGCTTCATTGAGTTTAAATTGTTTTAACTAGTGTTTCAATAAACTTCAATAAATTTAATGAATTCTAAGAAGTCGTAATTTAAATGTTAGATTTCTTTTCATTCTTGCATTGAAAATCGGAAAAAATCGTCTGCTTGATTATATTTTAAAAAAGGTATTTTTGAAAGAAATATTTTATTATTTTTAATGCAAAAAGCCAAAAAGCTAAATATTATTATGAAAATTATGAACTAAAAATTGTGTATCTCGCCCATAGTACTTAAGTTGAAATTCAGCTTTTGGGTTTTCAAAACCGACCTAAGGAGCCCGGGAAAATTACGACTTAAAACAAATCTTAAAAAAAAATTCAGTATAGCTATCGCATCCGGCAAGGGAGCAATAAAAATTTAAATTTTCTAAAAAAATAACTCCATTTATAAGTGATATTTGGTGTGAAAGAGATTAGTCCCGGAGGTGAGTTGCTTTTGCCTTTTTGAATACCAAGCCGCCCAGAAGACAAAGACTAAGGATTATATGACATGGTTTAAGTTTTTTATATATTTTTTGTTTCTTTTTTTGCATTTTTTTTTCAATTTGTTTTTCATAATAATAAACTGTTAATCATTTGGTGTGGACAACTACGCTAAATCCATATACAGTTTACACGTAATAAGTATTAAACGAAAATAATTATGTAGAATAAAATTATAGGGATACGGGAGCGGTGATGGGCCTCCTCTGTTTGATCGTCGAGGCCGCCGAATACAAGCTACCGATCTTCCGTCCGCGTTCGCTAACTTAATAATGAGAAACCCGGGATCGCCACCTGATTGGCTCTCCTCCTCCTCAATCCTCACTTCTCACTCCTCACTCCTAAAAAAAAAAAAATGCACGCAAAAAAATGCATACGCGGTACATTCATACAATATATAAAAGCTATTTTTGGAAAAAAGTTAAGAAAACGCCCAAACAGTGAGCCTTGATGTTTTAGGAAATCCAAGCGGGAAAACCTATGCGTTTTTACATATATATATTTGATACTATCCAATGTATAATATGTATTCGTTTATGTATATCTAGGCTGCAAAGCAAAACAAAACAAGTCGAGTCGTAGGTGGCGGTTGGAGACAGGTAGAAATCGTGATGGCGAATGGCAATTATCGACGAATGAGCTTAAGGAATCATAGGACTATATATATATCAAAAGTTGCGTTACAAAAGTTGCTTGTGTCTGTCTGCATTCTGGAACCGATATTGATCTTTCGTCCGCGCTAAGCGTTAGCTAACTTAACAATGTTAAACCCCAGGTTGGCTCATCCATTTATCCCAGGGTTTCCCTTCAATCTCCAATCTTAAATCTGCAATCTGCAATCTGCTGCGGAGTCCAAGTGTCGTCTGTGTGCGTGCGTCAACTAACGTAGCCTTGTGTTCTGCTTTTACCATCATGGATCTTGTAAAGTTGCTTCCAAATGTTCGTATTACAATATTTTTTATATCGTTAAACTTTAGGTAGGTTGTTTCTGTTGCTTGTTCCAGTTATTAGTAAGTAAATGGTTCCCTCCGGCGACGCGGCCTAGGTTTATTGCTTCATTTCGTCGGGTGTCCGGGTATGTGTCTCCCTCTGTCTGTCTGTGTGTGTGTATGGTGTGTGTCTGTGTGGAGCAGTTTCAAAAACTGTCCCCCGTATATCCATCCCATCGAATCCAACCCATCATCCATAGTGTTGGGAGGTCTTTTACGCACAGCACTTCCCGGCGTATCCCGGCGCCTTGTCGTTGTTCCGCCGGTCGATGATCACCCTCTCCTGGTTCTCGGCCGACTCACGGCCGGACGTCTTGTCCAGAATGGCCTGGGCCAGCTCGCAGAAGGCCTCCTCGATGTTTGTGTTTGATTTGGCGGATGTTTCCATAAAGCGAATTCCATGTTCCCGGGCAATCTACAAAGACAACGCAACCAGAGACGACGTAGATTATTAGAATGGCTTGGGTAAACACAGTGGAAATATATATAATTTATAATTATTAATTTATAAATTATATATATTTTATTATAATTATATATATATATTATTATAATTATTAATAATATATATAATTATAATTGCTGGCGGCCCAGCAACACGCACACTCTCCCGGAGATCGGCGAATAGCAATCACCATAAATAACCCTATTGAGAGCTCCCAAACGTAGAACTTTATTATGCAATTTGTTTTTGCCTTCGGCCTTCGATTTTTGTTTATCATTTCAAAATTGCCAGCTACTTTCTGTTGGGAATTCACAAAACTTTACAAGTACTTCCTATTTTGAAGCATGACAGTATACCATCTCCCTCTTTTTGAGCAATGGTACCCTAAGAGCTCTACATTAAGTTTGGATTTTTAACTAACATTTCGACTCATAACAAAAGGCGAACTATGATAGAACCTAGAATTATAAAATATTTTCCATAATAATCCCACACGATAGCCCGAATAGACTTTGTACGACGAAGAGCTAGCCTCATGCCCATTTGCATGACTCATGTTGGCTTATTTTCCTTAGTCTACACAGGGTAAAAGCTAGAAGATAGCTCCAAGAACTAGCCGCCCTGCTTACCGCTTCGCCGCGCTCCTTGTTCACCACCCGTTTGTCCGTCATGTCGCACTTGTTGCCCAGAATCATCTTCTCCACGTCCTCGTTGGCGTGCTGAAAGCAATAATGACGAGAAAGAATTAAAAGAATACCCTTCAGAGATGTGATCTCGAGCACCCACCTCGTCTATATTCCGCAGCCATTTGACTATGTTCTCGAAGCTCTTCTCGTTCGTTATGTCATAGACGAGCATTATGCCCATGGCGCCTCGGTAGTAGGAGGTGGTTATCGTGTGGAAACGCTCCTGGCCGGCGGTGTCCCATATCTGAAGTTTGATCTTCTTGCCCTGCAGCTCCACTGTTTTGATTTTGAAATCGATTCCTAGGCGGGAAGATAATAAATAAATATATTAGAGCAATTATCAGAGCAATGACGTCACGAAGGCCAAGGCGAACAGATCGATGATTCATCCGGACACCGGATAACGGGTTCGGGAGTCCGCAACTGGGGGAACAGCTGACAAAATGCCTGCACGTATCGGTTACGTGTTTTTCGCTTAGACCTGGTCTAATTCGAGCTACTAGCAACAAAAACAACTGGCACCCGACCAGTCCAGAAGGGCTAAGATCCCACACACCCACACACACACACACGCTCGGGTGATAGGCATGTAGGTGCGTGTGGTTTCGGGATCCCCTCACGACCACCCGATAAGACCTTGCCACGCCCAATTACACACACGCATATCCTTGCCCCGGGGTCGACGCAGCTGCGTCGCAGTCGCAGTCGCCGCCGTCGCTGTCGCAGCCACTGCCACTGCCGCCGTCTACAGCAGCTGACACACATATGCAGGTACAGGGTGTCCCGGTGTGGCGCACTACTCACCTATGGTCGATATAAACGTTGAGGTGAAGGCATCATCCGAGAAACGGAACAGTATGCATGTTTTCCCCACGCCCGAGTCGCCGATCAGCAACAGTTTGAAGAGTAAATCGTAGGTTTTCTTTGCCATTTCCTTGCCTCGCAGCCGAACAAAGCACTAACACACACCCACACACACGAACACACGCACGCACGCAGGTGACAAACGATAATATTTAGCTGAATGCACTCTTGCCGGTAGCCCTGCTGTCGCCCCAATTCTTTTATTGGCGTATTGATTGTGTTTGATGCTCGGACAGCCGTTGATTCCCTCACGAGTTTTTATGTGCGGCAATAATTGCACCAAAACAGCAGCTTTATCAGAAAAGAAGAGGAGAACGAACGGGCGACTGCTGTGCGCGCTTACCAATACTGACATGCGCGCTTATGAACACTGTTTTGAAAAATATCGATCGTTGCACCACCGATGTTATCGGCTTGTTCATATATATAATGTTGTGATCTTTTTTCACCGTTTTTCAATTTTATAAATGTTTTCCTTAATTTTGTATTCAAGTGCAAGAAATTATTGATTGCAGTTGAAAACTTTAGCTATCGATAGTTTTATAGCCATTGCACTTGGGACGTTTGCAACACTGTTTGTAAAAGTGCGTTTACACTCGGAATTTTGGCAAAATAAATAAGAAATGGTAAGCAATCCCATGTTACAAATTACTCTCAACCTTCTTAAATCGGCTAATCACCCGTAGGACGGGGAAGACACCGACTGGCAAAACTGCCTGGTCGAAATAAAGGACCGCGGCCAATATTTGCTGCGTTCGGAAAAGTGGGCCGACTGCCGCTTCTTGGTGGGCACTCCGCCAAATCAGCAGTTGGTTGCTGCACACAAACTCCTGCTGGCGATGGCCTCACCAGTTTTCGAGACAATGTTTTTCGGCAACCTGCCGGACAAGACAGATCCCATCGTCATATCGGATGTGCAGCCCGAGGCGTTTGAGGCTCTGCTGGAGTACATCTACACCGACCGCATCCACATTACTTCTTTCGACAAGGCCTGTGAACTGTGCTATGTGGCCAAAAAGTACATGCTGCCCCATGTGGTGACGCGCTGCACCCATTTTTTGTGGGCCGATCTCAGCCCGAAAAACGCCTGTCGGGCCTACGAATTCGCCAAACTCTTCGATGAGCCGCGCCTAATGCAGAGCAGCATGGACCTTATCGCCGCCAACACCCGTGAGGTTTTGTCGGATCCCAGCTTCCTCGACATCGAGGTGCCCACCCTGATGGCCATACTGGACCAGAATCGCCTGAACATCGACTCGGAGCTGGATTTGTTCAACTGCCTGCTCAAGTTTGCCAACGAGCGCGGCATGCTCAACGAGTCTGGCCAGGAGGATGATGCCAGCGGTGGGGAGGCGACCGGGGAGGGGGGCCACGTTTTGGTGGAAGAGATCAAGATGGAGCCCGATGTAGCGGCTATGGTGCAGCACATGCACCAGGACGAGGAAGGTGAGTCCAGCTTCGAGTCAGATCCGTTTAGCCAGCCGTCGACGTCGGCAGCTGGAACTGGAATGGCTGCCTCCGCTGCCGAAGCAGCCGGAAGCTCTGCATCAGCTGCCTCTCCGCCCGTGAATGTTGAGATCGATGTGGCCGCCGCCGCCGCCGCCGCCTCTGACGACGTGGTGATCATCGACAGCGACGCTTCGGGCGATGCTGCCGCCAATATGATCAACCTAATGGATGCCCAGCGCACAATCCTGGACGGAGCCATGTTGCGCCAGGCCGTCAAGAAGATCCGCTTTTTGACGATGACACCTAAGCAGTTCGCCGAGGGGCCGGCGCGCTCCAAGCTGTTGCAGCAACACGAGGCCCTGGCCATACTCATCAAGATCTCTAGTCCAACCCTGAACGACTGCCGCATGCCCGAGGGCTTCTGTGTTTCGCGGAGCATGCGGAACTACTACGAGCCCGGACTGCGAATGGGAAACCGAGAGCTGGGCTCCGCTTACCGTCACCCGAGCACGGTTGTAACTTCGGGGATCTGCTTTTCGGGCGCCGGGCCGTCCATTCGCAGCGGCGGTTGCCCAATCATGATGAGCAACTCCCAGCCGGCCTACCCCCGCATGGGCCCCGCGTTTGGATTCGGCTTTGGCGATGAACAGCAGCTGGGCATAAGAGCCCCGGACCAGATGGGCGTGCCGGAACCAGCTCCTCTGCCGACCGGAATGCGATGCTTTGGGGATGCCTACGAGGGGGGACCAGTGGGCCCGCCACTACCGCCCAACGAGAACGAGCCATCTGCTGGACCCGTGCCAGCCCTGGGAGGACCCGGAGCCGCCCCATCAGGTAATTCGCACAATGATATGGTGCGCGCCTACTGTAAGCGCTCCCTTACCCGCCAGTTCGATTTCCGCAACACGAGCGTTACGGATGCTGGCGTAACCTTTCAAGTCGACACCAATATTTGGATTTTAGGCGTCCAGGTACCTACGAGGGTGCTGTGTGGGGAAATGACGTCGGCCGGGTTCACGGAACGCTACACGGAGGTGTTATACGCCCATATTCAGGATATGCACGGTTCGCGGATCACCTACACCCACTGTACGGCCCGTGTCCGATACGATTCGCAGCTGGACCTCACTTTTGATCGGCCAGTCTACATCTACCGCAACCAGATATACAAGATCTATGTCGTATTCAACAAGACGGGGTGGTATCCAATGTACTCGTGCGTCCCCGACGCCAACTGCCATCGCGTCAAGTTCATGTTCAACGTCGGACTACCGACGGAGTCCGTGCGCGACGGCCTCATATACGCCATCATCTTCTCCACCCCGCAGGAGCACGGACGCAATCTGGTTGCAGACTAGAGATGTACTAGTTAGTATTTTGTATTTTATTGTATGTGATAGATCGTAGGCTTTTATCCTAGCGCTAGTTTGTAAAATTGCCAGTACTTTTCGGTTGCTGCTGTTGGTTCCAAAATTGTATTTATTTCGAATTTAAAATTGTACTAAGCCTAAGCCCACGACTCAATCCAATCGATTCCCATGACCGACATTGCAATACAATTAAGAGTTAAGAGTTAGCTTTACTTCTTTTTTTTTTCCTCTAAATATTTGATGTATTTTTACCTTGATCTTCGATGGGTACCGGGTATTTATAGTCGCGGTCAGCAATGACACCTTCCAGGCTTAACTCTTAAATAAGGACTTGTAACCCGAGCTGTACAATAAATAAAATTAACTTTATTGCGATTCATATACAAAAGGAGACCAAACAACAAGAAAGTTAATAATACGGAAAATGAAACAGAGGTGGTGGAGAACAAAACATTATTTCGGAGTGCCAGGAGGGGCGCTGGAGGAGCATACGCTTTAGAAACGGAGATAGGGAGTAGTAGTAGGATAGCTGGGGCTTTGAGCTTTATACACATAGGTAGGCAGATTAGTTTTCTTTATATATACAGGGTCCTCGTCTCGGGGTCGATCGTCGGATAGCCCTATTTGCCGTAGTTGGCGCAGCTGCCGCTGGCGTACTCCGGATCCTCGCAGGTGAGTGTGTGCTCGTCGAACACCTTGTCCTCGCCGCAGCTAATCAGGCGCGGGTGTCCCTCCACGCAGGTGATGAGGCGGTGGCAGTCGCCGGACACCGGGAACCTGGGGAAGGGCCAGAAGCGGGCGGCCACCGAGTTGGGGTCCACCTTGGTGGGGCACTTGAAGCCCACCACAGCTGCAAGTTCAAGTCCAGGATTAGTTGGCGTTTGGATCTCACATCTAGGATATACTCACCCTCGGGATTGCAGTGGTCCAGCAGCTGGTCCGGCCAGTTGCATCCGTGGATGCGCTCGTCGTAGGCCAGGCCGGCGTCGCAGTCCTGCTCGTGGGGCTCTCCGTGGGCGCACTTGATGTACGTGGTGGAGCAGTCCTTGGACACGGCGTACAGTCCAAACTGGTACTCGCAGCCCGGCGTGGAGATGGGAGTGGCTGAAAGGACACGCGGTTAAGATTATCCAAAGAAGGTGTCCACTTCTCGACTTACGATCCCACTGCCGGCCCTTGCAGTCCACCGCCCAGTTGTAGTTGCAGTGGTTGTGCACGGCGCCCTTGCCGTCGAAGAGCAGGCCGTTCTCGCAGGTCTCCAGGGTCAGGGTGCCGTTGGTGCAGAGGAAGAACTGGTCGCAGTTCTCCGTGTGGGCGTAGGCCTGGACGCCGTACTTCTCGGGGCACTCGGGTGCGCCCACGGCCAGGGCATGTCCTGTAATGGATTCGAGGGTGAGTTTATAAAGTCAGAGGTTGGTTTTTCTTCTATTTTTCCCACAATTATCAACTTGTTCTTAAATTGTTTCATTTAAATATTTAATTTTTATGCTTTAACCAAAAAAAAGAGGGACAAGATGGCGACGGAGAGAGCGAGAAGAACTTTTAGACGCAATTTTTCATTACTGACTTAAAATTTAAAAAATGAAATGGTTTCACGAACTTTCAAAATGTATTTCCATTATTCAAGCCTTTTTTTTAGTCCTATTCAAGATCAATTATAGAAATCTTGTTCTGGGACCACCAAGTCTGACAAGATGGCGACAGAGAGAGAGAAGAGAGCGAGAGAAACATTTAGGCGCCATTTTCTAACAACATCCAAGATGGCGACAGAGACGTGAAATTAAAAATTATTCCGGTAAAATATTAAAATTTAAAAAAAAGTATGTAATGGTTAAATTTAGTATTAGCACTTCATTTAGTTAGTATTAGTATGATATTTGTAGATATTAAATATCAAACATTAACAGATCGTTCTAGAATCTACATAGAATCCCCAAGACTAGCGAGATGGCGACAAAGAAAGCGAGAGGAACTGTTAGACGCCATTTTCTGAAGGACTAAAATTAAAAATAATTCCGGTTAAATATTTAAATAAAAAAAACCGTATGTATTGCCTGTTTTTAAGAAGTTCTGGTTTTTTTCTATCGAATTTCAATTACAAACAGATTCCAAAGTCTGGCAGGTAAAGGACTCGAGAAGCGCGAGAAGAACTATAATTTAGAACCGTTCAGATATTCAATATTTAAAAGCCTTTATTTGAGTCCCTGTTGTGGGTTTCTTTCAAATAAATTATAATACGATCCAAGAATGATCTGACGAGATGGCGACAAGGAGAGCGAGAAGAACTGTTGGGCGCCATTTTCCAATACTACGTGTTATATTATTACGTGTAATACAAAAAAAATAGTTCCACATAAATAAAAGAAAAAAAAGTTAAAAAACCTACTCTATGTATTGCCTGTATTATTGGGTTTTTATAGCTCCAAGACTAAAAGGTTCGTTTTTGGATCCCAAAGAGGCTGACAAGAGAGGAGCTCTAAGAGCCAGAGGAACTGTTGGGTTCCATTTGCCCAAGATAGAAATAAAATAATTTCAGATATATTAGATATTCAAATTTTCTACTTAAAAAAAACGTATATTTAATTTGTTTTTTTTTTTTTTAACTTTAATGAATAACAATTATAAACAGATCGCTTATGAATCGGAGGAAACTGTTCCCACCATTGTCAAACCCGAATGGCAGGCGCGTCTACTTCCTTCCTGTCTGCCAGAGCGTCTGTTTAAGTGGCAGAGTGCCTCACCTCCCCCCCGTCCTCTATCTCTTGGCCAGAGCTAACTGGTTTTTTGGTGCAAGTGCAAGTGACGACACAACACTTTTGCGCATCTTCGTCGGATGGCGGTGATGTAATGGAAGCTGGCATGGTTGCCATGGAATGCCCATGCCATCGAGATCGAGGCAACAGGTTGACGTCGACTACTTTTCCGTTGCTTTTCTCGAAACCCCCACAGCCGAAAACCAAGCATAACGTAAATATTTAAATTCCTCAAAGATTTCCGGTAATTTTTCACAAAAAGACAAACTCAAATGTCAATAAAACGCCGGTGTCATTGATCCTGTATCGATCCTGATTTCCAAAGCATGGGGTTTGATAGTATTTTTTTTCAAAACCGATTTATAGTTGATTATTAAAAGAAGTAGGATAGAAGACTATTAAGACTATTATTTGCCATTCAATCAAGGATATTTCTTTTTAAATCTTCTCTTCTTTAAAATCTGTCTGTTTGAAAAATAAGTAAATTGTATGATTACTATTCGATTTCCAGAAAAAGCCGTTTTCCAAATAAGCCCAGCTATTATATATAACATCTTTTCAGTAGGTTGGATATACATATCTATCGGGGAGATCGGTCTAGTATTAAGGCTAAATTATTGTTGTAGTTATGGAGTCCATCAATGTATTTCTAACTAATTTTATTTATTTCATCTTTCTATCAAGGATATAGTTTATTTGTTGAATTTTCCTTATTTAGAAAAACAGATTTTTTGATATATTTGGACTTGATTTTGCAAATATTTGTGTAAAATATTGAAAAATTTGCAAAACAGTTTCTTATTTAAAACTACATTAATCTTTATTAAGGTTATCGAATCATGAAGTTTTAAAGTCTAACCATTGATAATTAAAAATATTAAAAGGTAATATATGATTTTTGAGAGTTGGATTGTTTCCAAAAGGTAGTTATTCCAAAAAACTAGTCAATACTTTAGAAAACCATATAGCTACCGGCTTAAAACTGAATAATTCATAGCCATATCCTCTCTACAGATATCCAAAAGTGCGGAATCGTTAATCGATTTTATCACAAAATCGAAAGATCAAATCGGTTGATCCAAAGAGCAACCTTTTGGGTAAGAAATCAGAAAAAACTGGTCGCGTCGGGTAGCCCAGAACTAGATCGGTATAATTTGATAGCTTTCGGAGGCTTTTGTATATTCTTACTTAATTGTCAACTGGTTTGACGGGACCAAGTTCTACTTTTGACCGCGTTTGGCATTTGTTTTAGTTCATTAAGCTGTCGGATACCAGATATGCACATATATCTGTGTACTTTAATGGTTTATTAGTCGGACTGGGGAGAGAGACCCAGTCCAGCCCAGCCCAGCCCAGGCCAGGCTGCTGAGTCAGTCGAAAAGCAAAAGTGATCGCGCCCCGATTGCACATGATCTGCATGGCAAATCAGTTGAAAAGCCATGGGGTCTGGTGGCTCAGGGTTAAGTTTTTTGGACCAATTGGAGCTTTGGTAACTGATAGGTGGGGTTAGCCTTCGGCTAAAACCAGTAACTGACTGGATTAGGATCTAAACTCGACTAAGGTGAGAACAAAAGCCGTCTAACGGTTATCCGTCTGGGCTAAAAGATACTATATACATATACGTATTTGGACACTTTGATTGCAAATGGAATTTTTGAAAGTAAAAGCTCCAGAGAAACACACACGCCAAGTTGGTAATTGAAAGGTTGCGATAATTGTTGGTTTGGTAATTGTTACACCGATCAAGGCCCTAAATAGAAGGGGCCTCCATTGCGACTACTTACCACTGGCGAGCCAGGCCAGGACCAGAACACTGCACACTTGGTAACGCTGCATGTTTTCTAAATTCAAAAATATTTTTAGTTTTAATTAGAAATAATAATGGAAATAATTAACACAATAAAACACAAACACAAATAGCACAAAAATATATGACAATTACACCGCAAAAAAATAATATATATATGTATCGCAAACACTCGCAAAAAATATTCAAACTTCAAAATACCAGATGGAAAGAAATGGAAACTTCCGCTCCAGGAGGGTTATACGTTTTAACGGTTATGCGTTCCAAACTCAACTGAAAAGATTTATACCGCGCTCCAAGAAGAAGAAGAAGCCGATCGGCCACGGCGTCGGCGCAAGCGCAAGCGTCAGCGGCGACGCCAACAGCAGCCCCCAACAGAAGCGGCGACTTAAAAACACAACAACACAAAAAAATGAAACAAAATAAAAACAAAAACACACAACAAACAAAAACAAAAATGGACAAAGTTTTGCAAAGCTAAGCTTTGATTTCTTAGCTTTGCATCCCCGCGGGGGAGGGCGGGTGGAAAGGAGGTGGTGGGTGGTGGAACAGTGGGAATGGGTGTGCGAGTGGGAGTGGAAGAAGGAGGAGGGCCCGTTGTGTTGTCACAGTTGCCTTGCTTCTTCTTGTTGTTGTTGCTGCTGCTGCAGTTGTTGTTGTTACTGTTGTCTGCATGAAAAACGGGATTTGGGTTGCCGGAGTGTTGCCATCCCAGCTTTTTAGCCTTTTTATTTAATTTGCTTTTTTTTTGGAATCTGGATTTTAAAGTTTAAGACTGTATTCTTTTTTTATTCCTTACGGGTTTTTTTTATTTTTACGTCATAGAAAGAATACTAAAATTTGGCTTCATTTTTAAACAATGAGGAAGGTACTTAAAAACAATGAGATACCCTGTACTACAATACTTTTTCATTTTCCCTTAAAATCACCTTTTTTTTTTTTAAGTCCTTTTGGGAATTATTGCATAGAAGTACATATATTAGAAAGTAAAACAAAAAATAATTAAAACTTTAAGAAAACATGATTGGATTGAGTTCTTAGTCACCTCTTACCTATGTACGTTTGATTTTTGTAGCTTAGGAACCTGGTCCTGGAGACCACTCATAAATAACCCACCTAAAAATCTGGATCTATAGTGTCAAAAAACGATGTTAATAAATAAATTAATTGCTTATATTTCAAAGTTCTTACTCAAAAAATCAAGTACTATATGCTGTTACCAAATTTTAAGACTTGTAATCCTTCAAGATAAGTGATCATGAAATTCGAAATGCACATGTATGTGAATTTTAGTCTTTCCGCTTCAGATACCGGTTAGGAGATACTACTGTACTACTGATACTACTAAGTAACTGAAATTAATTTAACGGGAATCTTTTTATAAGTCGTTAATTCAGTCCTTATTTTGAGTAAATTTATAACTGGCGTCATTCTTAAAGCCTAAAGATATATTTGGTTTGGTTGCTCAATATACTAGTTTTCCCTGCCATAAAATGCATAAGAAAAGGAGAGAAGCCTTTGAAGGTTGATTTTGTGCGCATATCGAAAGGTTCTAAACTATATGTACTATATTTACATATGTAATAAAAATATAATATATGATATATAGATAAAAATATGTATAAAATCATACAAAAAATACATTATTTTACATACATTATCACACTTTCCTCATTATAAGCCACAAACATAAGTACTAAAAAGAAAGTTATCTATCACAAACCCACATTAGTAACATCCATCAATGGGATGACCAAGATCTGCGGGTCAAAGTTCCCATTTTCTTACTGCTTACCTTTTAGCCTTTTTTGTGGATTTTAGACCGCTGATTTGGCTTTTTCCCGCCGCCCCTTTCCCCGCCAGCACTGGATGGCTAGCTGAGCGCGTGTGATTGAAAGTAAAAGGCAAAGCTCGCGCAGACCATAAGCTTCATTCATGATTGGGTCCCGTTTGGCGATTACCGTTACATTGTTAACTATTGCAAAACTTTTGCCTCTGCCGCTGCTGCTGCTGTTGCTGTTGCAGCCTCTGCCCGCGTCCGCGTCGATTACATAATAGCTCTCTGACTGCGCTTTAATTATTTTGTTTCTGTTTGTGTTGTTGTTTTTGGTTTTGTGTGTTTACATGGAAGCTATTTGGCTTATTTGCTTTTGGCCACTCGGGTAATTAACGACTCTTTGTCCACCCCCCCCTCTCCTCCCCTGTGGCTTGACAAAGGGTTAATGGATCAAGCCCGGTACCTCAAAGACCCCGTAACTCCCGAGTGAAAGGTTCGTTGATTGATGGATCATAGAAGATCTGCTCGATGCGATACAAATGGCAATTATAGTATTTCACAAACCAGATGGATCACTAATTTTGTGTAGTTTTGAAATCTCATGTTTTTATTCAAAAACGAAATGGGCATGACGGGACGGGATTGTAGGGGATATGGGGATTTACAGTTGAGCGATGCCTTGGATGAAATTTAATTTAAGAAAAATATATGAATATTAAAAATTAAATATATAGAAGAAGTAGTTGAAGTCCTACGGCTTAAATAGTGGGAGTTCTTCGGAAAGAAAGAAAAAAGTTAAGAAAAGTGTTTGAAAACGGGGAAAAGGTTTTTGCAGAATACAGAAAATAAGGTTAGAAAAGATTATAAAAAAAATTAAGGTTAGAAAAGAGTTCAAGAGTTTAAGATTTTTAAGATTATGGTATTACATCGACTTTAAAAAAGAAAATATTAAATAGATAAGAAACATTTATAGAAAATAGTTTAAAGTTTTTGAAATAATAATTAGAAGTATCTTGAAGAGAAGATAGATATAGTTTTGGAATTGAAAATGATAAAATCAGAAGAAGATGAGAGATAAAATGAAAAGAATGATATATTTTTCATAAATATAGAAGATAGATGTATATGTAATCATAGATACACATATATGTAGATTAAATAGATATGCCAAGTTTGAGATACTATACTTGAAAAAGTTCATGAAGTTTAAAAGATTTTGAAGATTGGAAAGATTTTGTAGAGAAAATTGCAAAAAATCCAAAAAAAAAAGTATAGAATATACAGGAAATATTTCTATTACTTAAAAAAAAGATATCTAAAAAAATTATCATTTTTAGATAGTAAATTAGATTTTAAATTTTCAAAAGAATTAAAAGAGAAAGCAAGAAGATAAAATGAAAAATATCAATATAATTAATTTGATATTAATAAAAAGTAGAAGAAAACCTAGAAAATACATAGAGAATTAGAAAAACAGATGAAAGCCAGAAGAGATTTGGAAAGATAGAGTAAAGTGGGTATAGTTTATAAAAAAATCAGTTTATTATATTTTTTTGTTGTTGTTTTCCTTTTTTTATAATAATTAAAGGGAAATGGAAAAACGGAAATATATACACAACAAATTAGCGGAAGATTCGATTGGGCACAGTGAGAGAAAAGTAGAGTAAGAAAAGGATATAAAAGAGAGGACAGTACAGGATAGATGGGATAGTACAAAGTAAGAATAGTAGATAGAGTATAGAGAAAGTCGGGTTTGTTTTTAAAGTTTAACTGCTAGACATACGTTCTATAGGAATGGGCTAGAACTACTAACTTTAAGTGACTACGACGCGAATCCGAAATTTGTTTTCAGTGTATTTAGTGTGTGTGTGTGGGTGTAGGGTGTTGGGGATGTGTATCTGTGTGTGTGTGTGGATGTATTGATGAGCAGAATATCGGATTGGATCGATAGGGTTTTTGAGATGACGCTTAATCCTTGTCCACATCCTTGTACCAGTCCTCGCAGCCGGGCACGTTCTCGGGGGCGTCGCACATCTCGGTGGCGTCGTTGTAGACCTCACCCAGCTGGCAGCCCAGATCCCTGGGATCCTCGCCGTTCAGGCACACGTAAAACTTCTGGCAGTCGGTGGGATGGGGGTACTTGGGATGAGTCACCACCTGACCGCGATCATCGGTCTTGGGCTGATCCTTGGGGCACACGAAGCCGGTCTCCGAGGTTCCTACAAAGAAGTTTCATCTTAAGACCACCTCGTTTATGGACTTTCTTGAGGAGACTTACTCTGCTCGGGGTTGCAGCCTTCGCGCTTGGCCGTGTCGGGCCAGACACAGGTGCCGGAGTACTCGTCGAAGTGGAGGCCCACGGTACACTTGGTCTCCAGGGCGTCACCCTCGATGCAGTTGTAGAAGATGTTGCAGACCGCCGGGTCCGGATGGGCGAAGAATCCGTTCTTACGGGGGCAGTACTTGCTGGACTTGGGCTCCTCTGTGAAAAAATTCCAAATTAAAATACTTTTCGAGAGACTTTTTATGTAGGAAATAGATTAAAATATTCCTATTGATTAAATAACAAGTTTTTACAATAACAAATCTGGTCTTTAAGTCAAATTTTATTTCCAAAACAAGTTTTTAAATTTAATTCAAGCTGAAACTTTTATACAGCTTAACCTTTTGGCTGCAGAATGTGGAAAAATAAAAAAAAAACCCTGTCTTTAAGTTTAAATTCAAAAAACTTCCTCTTACAAAATAATAAAATAATTTCAAGTCCACTTACGTAGTTCGGTACGATCCTCGCAGTCGACATTGAAGGGCTGGTCACACTTGTTGATCTTGCGGTTCAGGGGATCGAAGACCAGGCCGTCCGGGCAGAGCTTCGCCTTGGCCACGCCCTCATCGCAGACGTAGTACTTGTCGCACTGGATCTCATCGGCGAACTGGCCATTGGGCTTGGGGCACTCGAAGTTGCTGGCGGCGGACACGGCTGCAATAGAGGAACAGAAATGGGGGGAAATAAGCAACAAAGGTCCACTTCGACTCGTTTTCCCACTTTCACTTTTGTGGCCAACGCGTTCCAGTCACTCGATCCAGGCAAAAACGAGTAAAAAGGTGAAAAAAAAAAGACTAAAATGTGTAACAAGATCGAAGACTTGATTTATCGATTGCAATTCCGCATTTCTCATTTCCTGATTGGTTGTCTTAGAGATGGGAGTAACGGTATCGCCAGAGGAGGCACTTCCGGTTGATCTTGTTATCTATGCTTTTATTAAGATTACTCTTGATTCGTTAAATAATTTCATCAGATATTAAATATTAAAAGTTCTCTAACTATTTTTTTTATAGTTTTTTATGCAAAAATGGCTGAAAACGAACTTTAAAAGTTGCATAACCAGCATCTTTGGGCTTGGCTTAGCTTTCCAGTTTTTCTCAGACAAGGGAGATACCCCCTGCCCCGTCTCCCCCTCCGGCCATTAAATCTTAGCCGGTTTTCCAGCCCATCCGCTTATATCTGCAATCGCAACTTGGGAGTTACTGAGGCTGGGCTGCAATCCAGCGGAACGCCTAAATGTCAGACGTTCGCACCCACAAAAAAAAAACTGAATAATGCCAAAATAATTTAAATAAATAAATAAAAAAATACAACTCTTGATTTTGGTGTCAAAGTCAAAGCAATTAGCAACCAGCCGCTAATCTACCAATGCGATTGATTTGGTTTTTTATGTATTATTATATTATTTTTGCTTTTTGTTTGATTTTTTTTTCACTCACTTGTTATCGCCACACACAGCGTCACAGCAATGGCACATAAAAATAATTTCATTTTGGATTAATTTTGATTGAAAAAAAATATAAAATCCTGGGAACTTGGTGAGAAGATCGGGTGTAGAGCCTGAGCAGCAGCTGATCGCGACTCAAGCGCTGCGATGCGATGGTTAAACTAAACTAACAACGGAACGCCAAAGAGGCGCACTTTTCAAGACTTTTTCGCCGGCTCCGGCTCGGTCGCTGCGCAGTCGGCGCCGGCAGAGCGGCTCGGCGCTGGCAATGGGTGGGGCGCCCCCCCGGCGGCAGGGGGCAGGGCTACTCCGGGCACTCGGGCACTCCCGGCACCTCCAGCTCTCGGGAGGGGGCTACGGAGAAAGGCAGTCGCCGGCGATGTAATGCCACAAAACCCAAAAACAAATTATAAAATAAAAATAAAAATCAAGAGGTGCCCGCTTAAAAAAGACCAAAATTCGATTTGGGGATATACCCTTAAAAAGGTCCTTGTAGAATTTTTAAAAATATTCAACAAACAGGGCTTGAAATCTACATTTTCGAAAAAAAAGTTAAGAAACCCAGATTGTTTTTGAAAACTGCTTTTGTAAGCATAAATTCTACATTAAAAAAAATATATATGTATTTATTTTTTATTGGAACATAAATTAATATTATACATTATGTAGCAAAAATTAAAGATTTATGAAGGCTTTCCACCAAAGATCATTTTAAATTTTGACAACAAAAAATTTCATTTAATTTTGGGAAAATATATAAATAGAATGGATTTCATAAATTGCAAATATTCAATAAATTTTTCGAAAATTTTACAATATAAACATTCAAAACACTGGAGTAAGTATCTTAAGATATCTTAAAGATATCTCGTTCAAATCGTTCATATCAAAGCATATCGTTTATATCTCGATATTTCGTTCAAATCAAAGTATTGAATATAATACTTTTCTTTTTTTTTTTTAAGAATTTCAAAAGAACTACTTTTTAAAATTCAAGTATAGTGGTATAATCGTTCTTACCCAGCTATATGGATTGTTTTTATATCAATTGTTAAAAAGACTTCTTAAAAACAAATCCAAGTTCTTAACTATAAACCTTTAAAATTTTTATAAAAAATAAGACGAGATATCAAGGTTCTTGTTTTAAGTAGTAAAGTAAGTTAAGTAGTTAAGTCTGAGTTGAACATTTCTAAAGAGTGGTTTTAGGTGAAGGAGTATTCAAGTATTAAAAGTAATAAAGAGGTAGTATATACCTATATGAAAATATATAAAAAAAACAAGACTAAAACTTAGCATTCCTCTTTAAATATCCTATATACTATACTCTTCTCTCTTCAGAGTTTTTAGAAATCTTCCAATATCGTATTTTTTTCAAAAAAAATTCCAGAAACTTTGCTCAATTGGTACCCACATTTTTGTAAGAGTATTCCCACTTCGTATTATTGTTTTGTCTTCAAATTACTCCAGTTGATTGGGTTAAAAAAAAAACGTAAAAGAAAAAAAAAGTTGACAAGAAAATGAACATAAACAAATTCATATGCGGCAACGAACCCCGGGCTGAGTCTTGAGTCTTGACTCGAGTTGATGGGCCGCATGCAAATGGCTTACACCGATAAAAAGCCAACGCACAAAAGACCATAACAAATTAAGCCAAAACGAATGATCAAATGGCCCAAACAACAAAAAACAAAACCAACAAAAAATAAAAAGAAAAATGCAAGCCCTCACTCGAATATGTAATATGTGTCCAGATGTTTTGTTAAAAAAAAAGGTTGTCTTCAAAAATCAATCAAGATAGGAAGGAGGTTAAAATATAACTTATTTTAAGGTTTTGTCCAAAGCTTGTTTATTAACCAAAAATTAATTTAACTTTGTTTTATAAAGGAAACTATTCAGTTTCTTAAGATGTGTTATTTGAGATGAAGCTACAAGTTGGTTTCAAATCGTTAAAGTTCGAGTTTTGTAACCTAATTTAATAATTTAAAAAATAATAATAATAGCAAAGAGTTGACTTTAACACCTTAGCTGGATAGTTAAAATAATAAATGAAAGTAAATTTTATAATACTAATTATAGTTTAAAAAAAAGAGATAGTTAATGAACGCAAATAAAAAAGCATAAGCTAAAAAGTCTTAAAAATGCAGCAGTTTAAAACCATAAGATGCATATATTTTTTCCTGTGTAAAAAATAAGGAAGATCTTCTATCCTTTCCCCAAAACGAGACGTCGGCTGCAGCAGAGCAGCGCAGCCTTGAAGAGGACTCGTCAGGTGAGAAAAAAAAGTGTGTCACATCCCGTGGGTTGGCGAGGGGCGAGAGAGGGGGTGGGGGAAGGGGCATGTGCGGTAAATGGCCAAAAGAGCCGGTAATATATGTACATAATATATGCATAAATATGCTAAACACAGCACGCAATGGCCCAAAAGCCGCTGTCCTTGGGCGACAGATATCCGAGATGCGAGATCCGAGAGATACAAAGTGTATCCGAGAGATGCGGCAAAACCAGATGGCTAGAAAAACTAGTTTAGGTTCGTGGCGTGGCTGGTCTTAACTTGGCTAATTAAAACGAAATACACTTTTACTCTCAGTCCGGGCGGGGGCGGGGGGTGGGCGATCGTCTAGAGCGGATTCTTGGAAACATGAAATCTGAAATTCAATTGGCGAATTAATCTGAAAATTAAATACGATTAAATGGCAACAAGGTGTGTGCCAGTGTGTCTCTGACAGGTTTGGTTTGCAATTAGCAAAAAAAAAAAAAAATACACAATAAAAAAAAATATGGAAAAGACCCTCACTGATTTGGCAACTGCCATGCAGATGTCTCTGCTGAGGCTGGCGCTGGCGCTGGCAGAGACTGCGACTGATTTATCAGCCTGGAGCAAAAAAAAAAAAAATCATTTTAAGATTTGGCAATTCAAGGTTTTTAATGCAACATGGGATCGATTCCAGTCCGGTTTATCAATGCGGTTACGAAATGGCTTCGAAAAAGTGAACCACTAACCATTAAGGCCCTCCCATACACATCCATATGCATTTATTTTAATAAAAACCAATATTTGGGTCACCGAAGATGGTTCGAACCCAAAAATAAAGCCTCTTTCTTTTCCCCTTGATCGCTTTTCAGGTCGGGTCAAAATAGCAATTAACAGGTAATTGCAAACAAAAAAAATACATACATATATAAAAAAAATATTAATACACCCATGGGGTCACGTTCCAGCTTTACAGTTACCTTTGGTGGCAAGTAAGTGTGCGAGTGGCATTGGTGGCATAAATTAAGGAAAATACAAATCATTTAATTGCTCATTCTCGGCGAGCTTTCTATTTCCATGGCAGGTTCTGGCTGTGATTTCACTTGCCGACAAACGCGGATTGCATATTGCCAGTGTGCTAGTGCCCCAGAAGTACACTCGGACAAAATCCGTAGTGTATTAACTTTTAAAAGGTTACAGCTCTAACCCAATATTTAAATCGACTCTTCATTGTTGTCTCTTTTATGGTTTATAACATATTATAACATATTTATAACATAAATATAGTCCGATTTTTTCTAAATATTTATTTCCAGATACCTTGAATCTATGAAATAGAAACCTTTAAAAGCTTTTCTTACACAAATGTAAGAAGGTTAATATCTCATAATAAAAAGGGTAACTTAAAATAGGGATAATAAAATTTTAAGATAAAATATTCAACAAAAAACAAACCAAAAAAATAATATTTGAAATCAGGTGTATAAGTTTCAAATCATGTAAATAAATATTCAGTTTCTACATGAATTTTACATTTCAAGTGCAATCGATAAATTCAGTTTAATTATTTATCGATAAGATATCAAAGAGCTAGGGGCGAACCTTTTAACGATAGTTGCTACAATTTAACGGGCAACGAGAGAGTACCTAATCTTAAAATTCTTTAAATTTAAACAGTTTTGAATCTTTAAGCCTTAATTTTACAGATATTGAAGGTCATTCTTTGCATTTTGTGCAAAAATCATCAATTTTAAATACTCTTTCCTACAACTTATTTGTGCCAAGTTAGCTATTTCATGTCATGTATGTCTGGCAGCACTGTGGGGCGGAAATCAGATTCGGCCATCTGGCATCACTGCATACTTAAGAGTCAAAACATTAAATCGCATTTTTTTACACGGTTGAAAAATGTGGATATAAGTACTTAAACCGCAGCAGACCAAAGTTAAAACAACGGCAAGAGGTGGGTCCATATGTCTATTGTGCTATAAATAATCGTTTAAAAATGAAACCAGTGGATATGAATGAGTTTGAAAGCAAAAAAGAAGTGCCCCAGCCCAATTGTTCGGGGGCGCAGTATTGATTTTTTCGCGAGTCAGAGACACAGATGTTCCGATTGGAATGCAAGTGGCAGTGGAAAACAGCAGTCGGGGAAAACACTTTCCAAATGTGCATGTTCAAATGGCAGTGCATCTGCTAGATTAGGTCCAGGCCAAATTCGTGCAACGCACACACAAACTTTCTTCGGTTTTGGCCAGTTGGTGACATCATCACCACCATCATCGGCGCCGTCAGAGCTACCAATATTGTTGGCCCATGCATTAATCACTTCCATTCCCTTCATCTCTCCCCCAGACCGAGGCAGAGACTCCCCAGAGAGAAAGGAGAGAGCGAGCGAGCGATCGAGCGAGATTCCCCACTCCAACTGCAGTACCAGTTCTCCATTGCACCCACACAAAGGCATTAGACCACCGGAAAAACAGGAGACTACATCCTTCCAAGCAAAATGGACCGAAAGGCTGAGCTGGAACGCAAAAAGGCCAAGTTGGCCGCTCTGCGGGAGGAGAAGGATCGCCGGCGCCGCGAGAAGGAGATCAAGGACATGGAGGAGGCGGCCGGTCGGATTGGCGGTGGTGCAGGCATAGACAAGGATCAGCGCAAGTGGGTGTCATCCATACCTGGCCATATATTGTGCCATTTTGACAGTTTCTTTAATTTTTTGTTACTTAGGGACCTTAATGAGATGTTGTCCTCTTTGGGTGTGGCTCCCGTCTCTGAAGTTCTCTCCTCACTGTCCTCCGTCAACTCCATGACGTCGGACAACTCCAACACACAGACCCCCGATGCCAGCCTGCAAGCAACTGTTAATGGTCAAAGGTAGGTTATACTTCTGGTTTCTATTTGCGATTTGTTTAAAAAAAAAGCTAGAAAATAAATAAAATATTAATTTTTAACAAAAAATGTCCTCCAGCGGCGGAAAGAAACAGCCACTGAATCTGAGCGTCTACAATGTCCAGTCTACGAGCATTCCACCAAAGGAGACCCTGGTCTACACGAAACAAACGCAGACAACCAGTACCGGCGGACACGAACGTGATGGTGCGTATTGCCCCCGTGAAAGGGGATATTAGGCTCTTCTCTAGCCGTATAACCGTATAACCGTAACCGCAATTGCAACCGTAACCGTAACCACTGTCCATAGTTTATGAAAAACCACAAAAAAAATATCCATCTTTCGCTATTGCTGCTCTCGTTCTTGTTCTTGTTCTTGGTCAAGTTGTTTACTGTGTTTTTTGGCTTTCCTGAGTCACCGTCTCCGTCTCCGTCCGTGGCGGAGGATGTGCCTCTTCATCTTCTGTCGCTCTGTCTGTCTCCCGTCCTATGTCCCACTTCCGTGTGGCGCCAGTTGACAAATGCTGCATGTTGCCTACGATTTAGCGCTTTCTCCGACCCCGACCCCGTACCCGTACCCACCTACCGCCTCCCCACCAGCCACGCCCTTCCGCAGAGAATAAAAACAAAAACTAGACAAAAATCTAAATCAAACAGAAAAACAATAATCCATAGTGAAATAAAATAACAAATACAGTTCTTTCTTGCCACTCCTCGCCCCTGTCAGGATATATGGAGGATTGGTGGCGTCCACGTAAAGGTACTAATCTTAATTTTAAGCAAATTCCACACTAATCAGATCAGCACACACACTCTGTTGTGATGGTGAAAATGTGAAAATGATGTGAAAACTTCAAAAACAAGTGAAAAGTCAACATAGAGCCCTGTACAACGTTTATACGATAAACCAAAGTATGAAATTCATGTGCAAAAGTAATAGGCTTAGAGAGAAGGATGCGTAGCAAGGATCGTATAAGCGTAGTAACTGTTGGTGGATTATAGATACATATAATATATATATATATTCGATTGCCAAAATTAACGATAGCTTCCTATTGCTTTGCTTCAACTCGATTTGGTTACTATGTATCCCAAAAGACAGTCATCTTGTAAACGAACAATAGTTCTCTTGCTTTTTTGCTTTAAGTTGATTTATTTCATCCATCAGTGCTACCAACCCGCCCTGAACACTTTCACATTTTATTCGATAACCAAACTAGCTACACATGGCCACAGACAGCATGAGAAACGTATTCCTAACTCTTTAGTTTACAAATATTTCCTATCTGCTTAGTAATGATGTTATGGAACACACTAGTTTCTTGATTTTTGGTCCTTCGAGCCTGATTTTGTTTAAGGACTACAGTTGGTAGCACTGTTGCCATTTCGAACTCATTGCCATTATTATGATTATTGGTTTTCCCTTTGGTTTGTTCTCCACACGCTTCGCTAACTCCCCCCAAACAGCATCCATCCGTTCATCAGTCCATCCAATCCATTAGTCCATCAATCATTAGCGTTTACACCGTTCGAGCGCATTTAATAATTTGTCTATTTACTTCTCTCTCTCTCCCCCTTATCTGTTTTTGGCACGCACGCAAAAAAAACTGCAGCTCATGCTACGGATTATTATGGTGAGTAGTCCTCGTTGTATCCGTAATCTTGTACCTAGACTTTTCAGCCTCAGTAGCCCGGCTCAGGTCTGTGTGCCCACCCGTAAAGAGTACCGTAATGCTATAAACCCGTAACCGTATATCTTAATAGAAACCTACTGAACCTACACACCTACCCATCTATCTATCTATCTATTTGTTTCTATTGACATGTACAATTATGTGTGTAGTTTTTGGTATTATATCCTTTCTTTCCGTCCTTCGAGCCTCTCCGTAGAAACCACTTGACTTGCGTAGTACTATATTTATGCCTGACATTTATGTATTATCCTATGTATAGATATTCTATGTTTATCGTAGCTGCTTCTTCGATCTTCGTTTCCGATTCGGTCATTTGATTTGTTCCCCAATCCGATCTTTACAATATATATATATAATATGTACTTATGTATACATTTTATATGATTTTATAAATGATTTGTTTCAACTAGCTCTAAACCACATATCGCAAAACATTCAGTTTGTATCGAGTTTAAACCGTAATTTGTGTATAAATCGATAAATATCGATTAATATGAAAATCAACAACAAAAATTGTTAATCTCCACCCAATTTATAAGTTCTTATTTCTTTTAAGTAGCTTTCGTAATCATTTTAAGTTTTAGACATCGTTTTTTTCATTTATTCGATTAATATTTTCATTATAATTTATGTATAACATTCGTAAGTTCTACGATTTCGGATATTACAGTTATGTTTACAACAGCCCTTTCCGGTTATAATTTTGGAAAAAGCTGCATTGTCTTGAATCCTTTTTTTTTCTAGTCGATTATTTTCTCGTAATCAGTAAAAGTATAAGTTATCGATAACCATATGAAACGAGAACACACCCACACAGACACCAACACCCACACAATCGTACACAAGGAAACTGCATGCGAAAGCACAGAATCTATATCGAGAGTCTATATCTATTTATCATGTGTATGATCAATAACCCGATGTATCAGTTGACACATCCTAAGCTGTATGATAAAAGTTTCTCCTCCCCTCGCTACCTTTTGTGTTCCATCATGAAAGTCTGGCTTGTGTGCTAATTATCCATTATCCTATATATCCAATATATATATAATATACATATATATCCGTATGTGGCCATGTGTGATCATTTCGCCAAGCAAAAATTAAGCACACTAAACCAAACATCTCTCACTTTTTACCGTATGCATTTAGTTTAAATTTTAATACATTGACTATCGATTGATTTGTTATCGATTCTCGATTATCGATCGCAATGGGCGGTAATGCTAATGTAAAAACTCATGATTTTTTCGTTTTGATTTGAAAAAAAAAAAAAAACGCCACCAAACAACAACGAAACAAAAACTACCAGCAATGTATGTACAATAATTTTTTATTTATATTTCTTCAAGATGAATACAATCTTAATCCGGGTTTAGAGTGGGAGGATGAATTCACAGGTAGGTACAGGCCAGCCGCCATCAAAATATTGAACAGTGACGGAATCGACATGAAGCAAAATAGGAACGCTCCAATTCTCACTTTGCAACCGAACAAGATAAAACAAGAATCCAATTAAAAGCCTAGAAATCAATCGAAAATCGAAAGAAACGCGTTGAAAAGTTCAATTCTTCGAGATGCAGTGTTGAAAATGAATTGAAGTAAAAGAGCGGCACACACGCATACACAACACTGATTTAACGGACCCGGCCTCGAACCTATTCTCTCGCTCTCATTTCCGCTTTTTGTACAGCTTACATTCGCATAACTCTGCTACTGCTCCTTCGGCCCAGCCCACCCCCGCTCCCGCCTCCGCCCTCCCTCCGTGTCCTTGCCAGCCTCACCCCCTTCTGTGTGACTTGTTGCTAACCCAATCACTCATTTCTAACTCTCTCCTAACAACCTAACTGTTTCTAACAAAACAAAACAACAGTAACGGCAGTGAAAGGTACACAGGGATGCTAGGCTTGCTCCATACTCTCTTCTCTTAGCCCTCGCCCCCAGCTCCAGATCCTCTCTTCAATTACAGCACTGTAACATTACCAGTAACAGTAAAGAATTGATCAATCGGCCGTTAACTTTTAAATATATGTGTAATATATTTCTAGCATAAAACTAAATAATTTTAAGTGCAAGCAATTATAAAATGGGTGGAGAAAGAAAGAACAATGTACAATAGCGATAACGTTCATAGAGTTAATCGAAACAAACCAGATCAAATCCCCAAAACTGGGAAAATGTAATATTTTTCATTTCTGTAATTGGCTTTGTGTATTAAATAGGTAAATTGAAAAGAAAAAAACAAAAAAAATTACACAAGATACCACATGCCTTCACTCACCTGTTCATTAACTCACTGTACATACGCTGTGTATATCGATAACAATTACCGTCTGATATATGCACCTGTGTGAGTGCGTGTGTTTAACTTAACAGTTTATTAACAGCCATGCACCTGTCCACACCTCTCTCTCTCTTCCCCTCTCCTTTCTATCTCGATCTCTCTCTCTCTCTCTCTGTCTCTGTCTTGTACGCACGCACGCATTTGTGATCACCCACCACCCACTCGAAAGAGATGCAACAACGAGAGGAAGTAGAAGAAGACTATCGGAGAAACCCGAATGCTGTGTGCTGGTCTCACTCACCCACCCACCCACTCCCTCTCGCTCACACTCTAAGCTTCAGCCTAACCACCCTGCCACCCCACCCACCATCATAACCAATCCCACCCCTTTCCCCCCGCCCCCCTGCAAAGAATTAAGAATTAAAAGAAGAACAAAGCCAAAGGTCACAGAAATCTCTAAGCAGTTCCTAAGCCAAGCAAACGAAGACGAAGAAGAACGCAAAATACGAATACGAATACGAATACGAAATGAAAAGCAAATCAAGAATAAGAATCACACCAAAGTCAATGAAGAATCCGAAAGTAGAATTGTTCCTGTTCTGTCGATTGTCACGTTCCTCTAGCTGTGTTAGTTTTATACCTTAAACAGTGCTTGCATTTGATGCCCAAGGAGATGACGAAGAGAGCTCGCTGCCACACCTGGACAATGGATTCACCTCCAAGCTGCCGCCGGGCTACCTCACCCACGGCCTGCCCACCGTCAAGGACGTGGCCCCGGCCATCACGCCCCTCGAGATCAAGAAGGAGACCGAAGTGAAGAAGGAGGGTACGTGGAGTATTCTCCAACAAACTCGTTAGCTCTCTTATCCTAATCTCCATATTCTCTTCCAGTTAACGAGCTATCCGAGGAACAGAAGCAGATGATCATCCTGTCGGAGGACTTCCAGCGATTCGTGGTGCGCGCCGGACGCGTCATCGAGCGTGCCCTCTCCGAGAACGTGGACATCTACACGGACTACATCGGCGGCGGAGACAACGAGGAGGCGAACGACGAGCGCTCCCACGCCCGGCTCTCCCTCAATCGGGTGTTCTACGACGAGCGCTGGTCCAAGAACCGATGCATCACCAGCATGGACTGGTCCACACACTTCCCGGAGCTGGTGGTGGCCTCGTACCACAACAACGAGGAGAGCCCCAACGAGCCGGACGGTGTGGTGATGGTGTGGAACACAAAGTTCAAGAAACGCACGCCAGAGGACGTCTTCCACTGCCAGAGCGCTGTGATGTCCACCTGCTTCGCCAAGTTCAATCCGAACCTGATCCTCGGCGGCACCTACTCGGGCCAGATAGTCCTGTGGGACAATCGCGTCCAGAAGCGCACCCCCATCCAGCGAACCCCCCTCAGCGCCGCTGCCCACACGCATCCGGTCTACTGCCTCCAGATGGTGGGCACCCAGAACGCGCACAACGTCATCTCAATCTCCTCGGACGGCAAACTCTGCTCGTGGTCGCTGGACATGCTCTCGCAGCCGCAGGACACCCTCGAGCTGCAGCAGCGGCAGTCGAAGGCCATTGCCATCACCTCCATGGCCTTCCCGGCCAACGAGATCAACAGCCTGGTGATGGGCAGCGAGGACGGCTACGTCTACTCGGCCTCGCGTCACGGTCTGCGTTCCGGGGTGAATGAGGTATACGAGCGCCATCTGGGCCCCATCACGGGCATCTCCACGCACTACAACCAGCTGTCGCCGGACTTTGGCCACCTATTCCTCACCTCGTCCATCGACTGGACCATCAAGCTCTGGTCGCTCAAGGTATCTATTGTCTATTGTCCGATCCTCCTGTTCCTCGAGCTATATTATTTTATCATCCTCCAGGACACGAAACCACTGCACTCCTTTGAGGATAACTCGGACTATGTCATGGACGTGGCCTGGTCGCCAGTGCATCCGGCGCTCTTTGCCGCCGTCGACGGCAGTGGCAGGCTGGACCTCTGGAACCTCAACCAGGACACCGAGGTGCCGACGGCCTCGATTGTGGTGGCCGGTGCTCCGGCACTCAACCGCGTCTCCTGGACGCCCTCGGGCCTGCACGTCTGCATCGGCGACGAGGCCGGCAAGCTGTACGTGTACGATGTGGCCGAGAACCTGGCGCAACCGTCGCGCGACGAGTGGTCCCGGTTCAACACCCATCTCAACGAGATCAAGATGAACCAGAGCGACGAGGTCTAGGCCGGAGTAGTTGTAGTAGCGAGCGGCCGGGCCGGGCCGGGCCGGGCGGTAGTCTATAGTTGATACCAATTCTGCGATTTCTGAAGCGCCAGAAGCGTGTTCTCCCCAAAAATGAAATTAAAGTGTAATTCTTTTCCGAACATCCCTCCATTTGTGATCCCGCTGCCCCCCCTAGTCTTTATTTTTTTTTTTTGCAATGCCCAGCATTAGTGGCCTTCTCCGCGATCCTCAGTCCCAGAGCTCGGCACCGTATTAGAGAATCGGGGGTTCATTCAATGAAACTCGCTATAGACCTGGAAGTCGGATTGGTATTGTAATTTATTCTTTTTCGGTATTATTAGACATTGATGCATATTTCCCCCAGACCTTCCAGGCGTTTAGACAGTAGGGTTTCTTCTCTTTTTATTTTACGTTTTCGAACTAAAAAGAACGAAGAACCGCTTTCGGGTGGAGATCGGAGGGATAACACATAATTAAATAACTGCTACATATTATATACATGCGAGAGCAACCAACTAAGCTTAAACCTGAGAGGCAGAAAGACAGAGAAGAAGACGTAGACAGACGTAGACGGAGGGGCTGACCCCGAGGCGACCCTGCGAAATGTGAAGAATCGGAGCAAGAAAGAGCCCAAATGTAAATGTATTAGAGTGAAGCCTATTTAACGAGATTAAATAAAGATATCTATATACACACAAGCATTCTCGCAGATACCGTCTATTCACTTAGATTAAGTGGTTTATTATATAATATAGCTCCATTATCATTTTTCCTCCGTAGCTCCATTATCATTTCTATATAAGCTACTTAAGGGGGTATTCTGGTATAAAGGAATGGGTTTTTGGTACTTCTTTCATGCGATTTTTACCTAAAATTATATCAAAACTTGCTCTAGAATATCATCATTGCTATTATTATTCTTTTAAAATCAAATCATTCTTTAAAAATGTAGTGAGCCAGAGCCACTAAGGCCTTCAGGCTATATTTTATTATAAAAACAAGAAAGGAAAGCTAACTTCGGGCGGAGCCGAAGTTTATATACCCTTGCATTTAAAACCGGATATATATCGCAAACATCGGATATAGTTGGCCGATCCTTATGGGAATAGGAATATATAATCCAATTTATTACAATACAAAATCTAAAAAAAGTCCCAAACTTCTATCTTCAAAAATACGAAAGTTGATATTTCTACCAAATACCATTTCCGATCGTTCAGTTATATGGCAGCTATGGGATATAGTCGGCCGATCCTAATGAAATTTAGTAGGTTGGATCAACTGACCAAGAATTAAATCTGTACTAAGTTCCAGCTTTCTATCTTCAAAAACACGAAAGTTGGGTCATTTCCGATCGTTCAGTTATATGGCAGCTATAGGATATAGTCGGCCGATCTTTATGAAATTTGGCATGTCGTATTATTTTGCCAAAAGCTCTCATGTCAAATTTGAACTCTCTAACTCTAAAAACACCAAAGTTATACAATTTCCGATCAATCAGTTATATGGCAGCTATAGGATATAGTCGGCCGATCCGGGCCGTTCCGACTTATATACTGCGTGCAAAGGAAAGAAGGGTGTGTGCAAAGTTTCAAGACGATAGCTTCAAAACTGAGAGACTAGTTCGCGTAGAAACAGACAGACGGACAGACAGACGGACAGACGGACAGACGGACAGACGGACAGACGGACATGCTCATATCAACTCAGGAGGTGATCCTGATCAAGAATATATATACTTTATAGGGTCGGAGATGTCTCCTTCACTGCGTTGCACACTTTTGACCAAAATTATAATACCCTCTGCAAGGGTATAATGAATTCAATTGGACCATTTAAAAAAATATATATAGAATATATTCTCCCTATTCTATTGAAAATTCAATATTTAAATAGGTAAAAATTGAGTAAGTTATGATCGGAATCCAGGATTCTTGAAATGAAGATATCTATAAGGGAAACTAAGGGCTTCAGGCTATATTTTATTTTAAAATGAATTCAAGAAAGATATATAAAATATATTCTATTAAAAATTGTATATATTCCATTTAAAAAGGTAAAAGTTAGAAAGCTATGATCGGAATCCAGGAAAAACAAGAAATAGTCACCTAACCACACCCATCATCCTATCCATTATAATATAAAGAAGTCTATATTATAGACTTTACTATATATTACAGACTCTATTATATAATAATTATTATTATAATAATGTTGCAATTTTTTTTTACACAGTGACTAAAAACAAACATTTTGAAGCCTTTTTTTTAAATTTTGGAATCTTAAACATAGTAAACTATAACCCTGTACGTAGGAAGAGCACCAATATTGAAGGTTTATTTTTGATTTGTAGAGAAAAGAAAAATAAAATAACTACTTTTGTTTGTTAAAATTTTGTTTATTTATTAAAACTAACTACTTTTATTTATTTATTAAAATTTTAGCTATTTATTTACAAATAAAAAGAAAGTATCGATTTTTTTTAAGTACAATTTAAACTTAAACATAACGTAAACGTCTTTTAAAAATTTGGTTTTTATGAGCGAATTATTTGCATATTTTTATAAAGTAAAAGCAAAAAAAAGTATCAAAGTTTACAAATTTGTCTGGAAAAGTGGTTATATTTGGACTCAAAACAATTTTTTTTGACTAAGGGTTAAAATTCGTCCTATCATAAGGACTTTTAGAAAGAATATTCTTCATTAATTTCAAATAAATCGGTTCGGTGTTGAGAACATTTATTTATTTACTTGGTACTTAGTATACAACCAGTTTTACAATAACTATACTAGTAATTAAGTAGAGTATTAGCGACGGTATTAAATTTTATTATTAGAAACTCTATAGAAATAGAAATAGAATAGATTCTATAGAAATATAGAATAGAATAGGAATGGAGAATTCGGGGAATACTTTTGAAAAAAGGGCTTTGAAAAACACAATTAAAGGAGGACTATCCCCAATTGGGGTCATAATGCAGACACATCTCAAATATCTAAAGATCTTTGAAAATAATTCAGTTTTGTGATGTTCTTCGCGAATACCCCCCTAATTAAGCATTTCAGGAATTCTTTCAGAGATAGAGATCGTTCTGGAAGTGTTCTGAAAGCCCTCCAATTGTCCAGGCCGTTTGGATCTCGACTGTGTCTTCAATTAATTAATTCCAAGCGGGTTCCGAGTGAGTGAATCACTTGCTCAGGAATTCCAAGTGCAGGCGTTAGGCGTTAGAAACTGAATTGAAAGCTTGAGGGTTAAAGTCGCGCTCACAAAAGCTTCTACACTCGAAAAAAATGCATTAATATTAATATTAAATAATATTTTACTTCTTTAATTTAACTTCCTTTGAATTCAAGAAATAAAACCTAAAAAAAATTCGAAATGTCTCAAAATGGGTTATTATTTGTGAGAGTGCATGACTTGCGCTTGGGAGAGCAGTCTTGAAGAGCAGAGAGCCACCTTGCACCACCTCGGAGGCCACCACTACCACCTCCCATTCACTCACCAGCCCAGCGTGGAAGCGAACGCATCTCTCAGAGAAACGGTGCCGAGGAAAAGCGTTGATTTTGCGAATTTGAACTGCAAAGAGCTCCAGAAGAGGAGAAACTATACTTTCCCCAAAGTCCCAGACCCCAAATGGACAACTACACGGTAAGTCTGCTGGGCAGTCGGCCCAACCAGGAGTAACATCACATCACCGCTGCATTTATCGATTTGCAACGCGATGCGTCATCCGTTTTCAGCCCGTACCCACGGTGGTGGCCGCCGCCCCCTTCGACGCCGCTGCGGACGCCCAGGCCCTGCGCTCGGCCATGAAGGGATTCGGCACCGATGAGCAGGAGATCATAGACATCCTCACCGGCCGGACCAACCTGCAGAGGCAGACCATTCGGGGCATCTACGAGGCCGAGTTCGAGCGCGACCTGGTCGACGATCTGAAGGGTGAGCTGGGCGGCAAGTTCGAGGACGTGATCGTGGGCCTGATGATGCCGCCGGTGGAGTACCTGTGCAAGCAGCTGCACGCCGCCATGGCCGGCATGGGCACCGAGGAGTCCACCCTGGTGGAGATACTCTGCACCAAGTCCAACGAGGAGATGGCCGAAATTGTGGCCGCCTACGAGGAGCGCTACCAACGCCCCCTGGCCGAGCAGATGTGCAGCGAGACCTCCGGCTTCTTCCGGCGGCTGCTCACCCTGATCGTTACTGGGGTTCGCGACGGCCTGGATACCCCGGTGGACGCCGCCGAGGCCAAGGACCAGGCCGCCCAGCTGTACTCCGCCGGCGAGGCCAAGCTGGGCACCGACGAGGAGGTCTTCAACCGCATCATGTCGCATGCCAGCTTCCCGCAGCTGCGGCTAGTCTTCGAGGAGTACAAGGAGCTCTCCGGCCAAACCATCGAGCAGGCCATCAAGCACGAGATGTCCGATGAGCTGCACGAGGCCATGATGGCCATAGGTCAGTCTCGATTAGCCTGAGAGGTGCTCCTGCCACTCACTTTCAACGACTTTCACTTCCTCTTCCAGTCGAGTGCGTCCAGTCCCCGGCGGCCTTTTTCGCCAACCGCCTGTACAAGGCCATGAACGGCGCCGGCACCGACGACGCCACCCTCATCCGGATCATAGTCAGCCGCTCGGAGATAGACCTGGAGACGATCAAGCAGGAGTTCGAGCGCATCTACAACCGCACCCTGAACAGCGCCGTGGTGGTAAGTCATACAGCTCCTCCTCGCATCGGTGGCGAGTGCTCCGCACCTGGCTAACGTATCGCTTTCCCTTCCATTATCGCCACATTCCACCCGTGTTCTCTATTCTGTATTTGTTGCGGTGTTTGTGTTGTCCTAGGACGTAAGTATTGGTTACGGCATTGGCTCTATTGGTGGCACTCCCGATCTCCTCCAGAGTAGATCTAAAGTTAACCCACTTTTCGCTACAGTTGCTGGGGAACGGGTGGATCTGGGGATCCTGTTTTGTAAATATTTAACAGAGGTTGCAGGATAATCAAAATTTAACGATATAGTTTATTGGCGACTAACATTAGGGCTCAAGCCTCTAATCCTCTGACCACAAAGCAACTTTGGTGCAAAGGGGATAATTATTCAACTAGGAACTGTTCCGTTTTTAAAGCCTGGTCTCCCTTTCTTCATATTTTACAGGCGGAGACCTCCGGAGACTACAAACGGGCCCTGACCGCCCTGCTGGGAGGCGCCTAAGCGCGTGGCAGCTGGTCCGCCCGATCTATGCTTATCCCTAACCGTATTCATAGCCGTATTCGTAGTGTGCCTTTTAGAGAAATCGATCGCTTTTAATGGCTGCGACAGCGCCTGCGCACAGTGCTGGCAATAAATAAACGCACATAGCAAAAAGTGTCTAACCAACAGGAGTACAGATAATTTGGATTGGGCGGGGGCGAGAGCTGGGGCGTGGCGTGCACGTGGCGGAGCCTACTTGAAGAACAGCTTGTGGAGCTCCTTGGCTTTCACGGGCAGGTAGTTCTGCATCTCATCCGGGTTGGTCCAGAAGGCGACAGAGCTCTGGAGCTCGGAGCAGGGCGCCTCCCGGTGAATGTACTCCTTCAGGATGTAATCGTTTTCTATTTCGTGGTGGAATCTCGTGTCGTGCATCCGGATGAGCACGTCGTCGACGCGCAGAAAGTGGCGCAGGAGTATGAAGAAGCCAGAGGGCATGACGCGCTGTTATGGGGAAAGGATGCACTGGAGAATCATCACAAGGGATCAGTGAATGGGAGTTCCGACTTACGATTCGCACGCTCATCACGGAGATGCCGTGATCGTGTAGCTCATCCTCGAACAGGGTGAGATCGTGATAGAAAATGATATTCTCTCGCTGCATCAGCTTGAACTTGTTCAGGGTCTGATCCGTTGCCTCGGCACGCACCTTCTCGTTCATGGTACCCTGGTAGGTGGACGTGAATGTCCAATCGAACGGCTTGAACTTCTCCTCCATAGTCTGTTCTGGTCTGGAGAAGCCAAGGAGTGCAAAGATTAGATGATTCACCTTGTGGCTCAAGCTATTTTTTGAACCCACCTGGTTTCGCGCCATTCCTGAGCGCAGGCCACTTCCAGCGGCTGCTTGCCGTTGGCCACTAGCGCCAGGGCATCCATGGGCTTGAACTCGAGCAGCGCTCCGTCCTTGTGCTGGAGGATCAGCTTGTTTTTGTGGAACACCATGTCTGGCAGGTGGGGCAGCTCCAGGGAGTGCTGGTAGTGGCAGAGATCACACCGGTTCGCGTCCTCCTTGTCGCAGCACTGGGTGCTGCCCAGCTTGCAGATGCTCTTGAGGATGTGCGACTTCTCGTAGCTTATGGCCCAGTCGTGGAATCTAATCGCCTCGCTGTCCACCGGCAGCCGAGGCACAAAGCACTGCGAGTGGAGAGAAGAGGATGGTTTAGTGACGCCGGGAATCGCTGGTGCAGCGGGCAAAGCACTTACATCGCTAGACATGATTTTACGCAAAAATTTAAATACTTGAACAGATTTTCAAAATTGAGTAGAAAAGTTTGTATAAAATAAAATCAAGTTTGACAAAACTTCATCGCTTTTCTACGGACGCTAACACAATGATTAAATAATTTATCGATAACTTTGGCTGGACTGTTTTCGATAGGAATGTGAGTAAAGCTTCAAAAAAGGAGTATCCCTACAAGTTTATATATGTTTTTGATACATAATTTGGTAATGTATAAATATAGATAGTATTTATTGCCTAAAATACACATATATTTTGGAAAATAACTAACAAAAACCAAAATTACAATCTATTTTCTTCATTTTTTATTTTAAATATTTAATTTTATTTGTTTGACTTTCTTAAACTAAGTGAGCTATTCATATTTCACAGAATAAAATTTGAACGGACTACTGTAGAAATAAAATTCAAATAGGAGCCCCCAAAGCTTTCAAATCTCTGTTATCGATAACAAAAAAGAGTAGTTGGCGGTCATCTGGCAGCGCTGTCATCTTCTGTTTTTGTTTTTATCATTTTATCAGTTAGGTTACTGACGATTCTGGTTGACTTATGTGACAATTTCGTCGATTTGCAGCGGCTAGTCAAGGATCCCCACCACCATGAATGCCTTAAGGCGCTTGACCCACCGCCCAACAGGCAGTACCTTCAGCTTCCTGTCGGGCCTTTCCAGAGCGACGTCCGCCAGCTCCTCCAGTTCCTGCACATCCAGTTCAACTAGGAGCAGCAGCACCAGCAAGCAACTGACTGCCACAGAAGTGCGCAACTCCCAGATCCTGCTCGAGCACAAGGGCAGCCTGGGCCAGCCCACAGCGCTGTCGCATCCGCACCTTATTCGCCCCCAGGAGCTGGTGCCGGGTGTGGAACAGAGCGAGTTCAGCGAGCGTAGGACCAAACTGATGCAGAACCTCCGGACCTATGCTCGTAGTTTCGGGGTAGTGTTCAGTGGCCACGTCAGCGCCTGTCACATGGTGAGTCCAGGACCTTCGGGTTTCCGCATCGACCTCTGAGTGATCCTCCTTGTTCCAGGTCGTTGTTGGAGCGGCTTCCAAGAAGTACATGAGCGGAAAAATTCCGTACGTTTTTCGGCAGAACTCTGACTTTTACTACCTGACTGGCTGCCTGGAACCGGATGCTGTGCTCCTCATCACCATGGATGAGAAAGAGACCGTGCGCTCCGAGCTCTTCATGCGGCCCAAGGATCCGCATGCCGAGCTGTGGGATGGGCCTCGCACCGGACCCGAGATGGCGGTGCCGCTGTTCGGCGTCAACGAAGCCCATCCGCTAGATCAGCTGGAGGAAGTGCTCGCCAAGCGGGCCGCAGACTCCAAGCCGCACCTCTGGTTCGACCGGAAGCACTCCGATCTTCCTTCCCTGACCGAGGACATGAAGCGCCTGAGCGAAACGGTGAAGCGGCCCCTCCTGCCGACCTACTCCTTCATTGGGGGCCTGCGGCTGATCAAATCTCCCGCAGAAATGGATCTCATGCGCCGCACCTGCGCTATAGCCTCCCACTCCTTCAACGAGGTGATGGCCGAGAGCCGGCCCGGCCTGTCGGAGCACCACCTGTTCGCGTCTATCGACTTCAAGTGCCGTATGCGCGACGCCAGTTACTTGGCCTATCTGCCAGTGGTGGCCTCCGGAACGAACGCCACCGTTATCCACTACGTAACCAACAACCAAATAGTGGGGGAGAAGGACATGGTGCTGATGGACGCCGGCTGCGAGTACGGCGGCTACACCAGCGACATCACCCGCACCTGGCCGGCCAGCGGAGTGTTCACGGATCCGCAACGCACCCTCTACGAGATGCTCCACCAGTTGCAGCTAGACATCATCGACATGATCATGGGGCCCGGGGGCGAAACCCTGGACGATCTGTTTGAGAGCACCTGCTTCAAGCTGGGCAAGTACCTGCAGGAGATCGGCCTGGTGTCCAAGTCGGTCACCGACGTCAAGGACCTGGCCCAGCAGGGCTACCGCTTCTGTCCCCACCACGTCTCCCACTACCTCGGCATGGATGTGCACGACACGCCGCATGTGTCGCGCAGCGAGCGCATAGTGCCCGGCATGGTCTTCACCGTGGAGCCGGGCGTCTACATCAGTCCCGACTGCAAGGATGTGCCGCCGGAGTTCCGCGGCATCGGCATCCGCATCGAGGACGACCTGCTGATCAACGAGAAGGGTCAGGTTGAGATTCTCACCGCGACCTGCGTCAAGGACTCGCGCGCGCTCGAAAAGCTCTGCCAGCAGCAGAAGAAGGAGCAGCAGGCCGAGTAGCAGCAGCCAGTCCCCAAATTCCTAGTCATACGTCGCTGTTGCGGCGCATCTTCGTACCTTACCCCCGTCTCCAACAAAATTGATGTAAAAAGAAGTTGATTTTATTTTAAATGAGAAAATGGCCAAATAAAATTTGAAATGCGATCAGGAATCCTCCCTGGTGTGGTCTAGAGCTTCGCGAAGACCGGCTTGTCGTCCTTGGTCAGCTGGGCGGCCACGGCCTGGGCAAAGTCCTCCGACTGCAGGTTCAGCTTGTTGATCAGGCGCTGCAAAGAAAAGATTAAAAAGGTTATCCGGCATGGCTACATGGGGGCAGGAAGCATTGAAGCAGTAATAAGTAACAAAAGATCCTACAATGTGGTCCAATCCCTGCTGGTTGGTGTGCTCCAGGGAGTAGGTCATGCTCTGCTTGGTGGTCTGCACGGCTATGGGGCTCTTGGAAGCAATGTTCTCGGCCAAGGCCAGAGCGCCGCTCAGCAAGGACTCCTTGTCGGGGAAGACGCGGCTGACCAGGCCCGAGGAGTGGGCCTCGGCTGCCTCGAAGCGGCGTCCGGTGAAGCACAGCTCCCGGGCCAGCGACTGGCTGCCCACTGCCTTGGGCAAGCGCTGCAGGGTACCAACATCGGCGGCCATGCCGATCTCCACCTCCTTAACCTGGAAGTAGGCGTCATCGGTGCAGTAACGGATGTCAGCGGATGTGATCAGGTCGACGCCGGCTCCGATGCAGGCCTTGTGCACCGCTGTGATCACCGGCTTGGGACACTGTTCCAGACTGCTAATCGAATCCTGGTACAGACGGATCATCCGCTCCATTATGACGCCCTTGCGGGCCACGTCGTCGGTCTCGGCCAGCTGCTGGCCCAGGTTCATCATGTCGTTGAGATCGATACCGGCGGTGAAATGCTTCCCGGCGGCGGAAACCACGATTGCCCGGCAGTCGGGGTTCGTGGAGAGACCTTCGAAGCACTCCTTGATCTCCCTGAGGATTATAGAATGCTACAATCTCCCTTATTTATTGGGGGCCTTCACCTACATCCACATCTGCTTGTTTAAGGCATTCAGCTTGGTGGGCCGATGGAGCTCCACATGGAAGACGAAAGGCTTGGGAGTACTGATGACCAGAGTCTTGAAGTGGTGGCCATGGGCGGGTTCTGCCTGGGCGGAGGATAGATGGCGTTGGGGCTGCATTGGGGCGGCTGTGGCTCGAACGGCTGAAAGTGTAAACACTCAAGTGAGAGATGAAATCGAAGACAGTCCGAGTTCAATGACTGCGGACTTTGACCGGCCCGCCTCTTTGGACTCTGGGGGCGGCCGGCATGTCCTATCGGCCGGCCAGGGTTGACCAGCCGACACCTACCAGTCGCGGTGGGAGCCAGTTTCAAAAATGTGTTCAAGCGGGACAACGACATGGCTGCAGAATGATTTCCAAATTCAAATCCACTTGTTGCAACAGCGAAATTGTTTGGTTTTATATTACTATCGATAAATCGATAAATAACAGCAACGGTGATGCCACATAGCGGGAATAGCATATCGAAAAGTCCTCTTAGAAATGGCCTACCTTCTAGGCGAAATAAATTGCATATCCTAGCTAATTTCAGTTCTTTGTGTGAATTTCGCAAATACATGGTATCAAAATTTATTTTTCAATAAATATATTTCAAAGACCGTTTCTTGTTTTGAGTAGCGATAGTCAGGGTTGCCAATGCATATTTATACATTTCCCCAAAAATTGGGATAAAATTCCCCAAATTTGGGGACAAAAATACGCTGATTCCCCATATAGGTTTTTTTAAATGAAACAATAAAAAGCTGAGTATAACTCATATTAGTATTCTTAATTAATTAAAATAAAAACTTAAACAGTTAACATTTATATTCATTTCCATATTTTTTTGGATAGCATTTTGTTTGACGGATTGAACTTGACGCTGCCGCCTAGTTTTTTAATTCCTTCTCTTGCAGCCATAAATGATAAAACAGTATCTGTATTCAGTCGCTCGACCGATGCATTTAAAAAAGGCAGTATCAGCAACAACGAAATATCAATTTTTATATTTTTTTTCAGACGAAACACTTTTCCCCAGTAACATTCAGCATCAATGTTATTTTGAACTTCAAGCCCATGTTGAGCCCATCGTCTAATTTTTGTGCTGTCACAAATATATGTATACCAGGTGTACCGGTATGAAATGAGCGTTTTTTTGTGAACAAAAACACAAAATATTAATCGGAAAGTAAAAAACATTTTATTCAAAGTATTGGCCATTGTTTTCTATACATTTTGACCACCTTTCTGGCAATTTGTGGATACCACGCCAATAAAATTCTTTCATCTTTTAAAGCAAACCAACCAGACACCACATTTTCGACCTCCTCGTCCTGCTCAGGACTGCTGCTCAGCCAATGCGTGTCCCATCGTTGAAAACAAATGGTAGTCGGAAGGAGCCAAGTCTGGTGAACACGGCGGGTTGGGTACCAGCTTCCAGCCAAGTGTTTTGATTGAATCCTGAACCAGTTTTGCTTTGTGGGCAGGTGGATTGTCATGGAGCAAAACTAACTTGCCGTGTCTTCTGGCCAATTCTGGTCATTTCTTGATCAATGCATGGTTCAAATTGATCACTTGTTGTCAGTAGCGATCTTTATTAACGGTTTCATCAGCTTTAAGGTGCACCACACCTTTCTGGTCCCAGCAAACACACAGCATTGTCTTCGTGCCGAATCGATCTGGTTTTGCAGTCGATGTTGACTGCTGCCCGGATTAACCCATGATTTTTTCCGTTTAGGATTCTTAAAATAAATCCAATTTTCATCGACAGTAACAATCCGATGCAAAATCGATTTTCTTTAGTGTCTTCGAAACAAAAAATTAATGCTTTCCGCGAATCATCACTTTCTGGTACAAAACTCGACATTTTTAACATGATGAAAAAATATAATGTTGTATATAATGTATATAATGCTGTTCAATGACTTGATGTATACTAAATATGTTTCAGAGATGTCATAGCAAACAAACAAAAAAAAACTAAAGGATCGTTCACAACAAACGTTTCCAAACGAGACCTCTGTATCTTGACGCTCACTTCATACCGGTACACCTGGTAAAGGACAGGAAATCGCTTCGGCACAGGCACCAGTGATTTAATTTCGAACTGTTGAGCTGTTGTCGGATTTACAACGGATATAATAAAAAATAGAGGATCTCCGAAATCAAATCGCTTGGTAATGTCTGACGTCAATTCCATATAAAATTCTTGGCATGTTCTTTAGAAATCTGCAATAGCCGCACAAGGTACATTTTCATCTTTTTTCAAGTTTTCCATACTTTCTGCAGCCTGTAATCGAATATATATTTTGTCTTAGCTTAGCAAATGCGTTGAATTTCTGAAGTCAGCGTTTCCAATTTTAACGCAGGACTTTATGTAGTTTTCAAAAGATTTTCAACTTCTGGTTTCAATTTGTGAAGAAGGGATGTTTCAGATTGAAACAAGGTATTAAAACTCGTTACCAGTGAAAGTACATAAGACATGAATTCTAAATATACCACAGTGAATTGGTTGTTCATTGTAATTAGCATTTCTTCGGTAGTCTTGGATGGGTCAGTGAATACTGTTTCCGTTAAATAGGCCGTTAAATAGTTCATATTGCTCTAATACACGGTCTACGCACGCTTTCACGGACAGCCATCGAGTCTGGGCTGGCGCGAGGATTTTGTGAATCTCCACTTTAAAGAATTCCTTGAAGCTCTTTCAATTTCATTTGTCTCTCTGAACTTCTACTGAAGTGAGCTCCTACAGAACGCAAGAAGTCTTCAACATTTCGGGTTAATTTCAGGCAAGCTTTCGATGATGAAAAGTGTATCATATGACAGGAGCATTTTACTAGAGCAATGTGAGGCAAATCGTTCTTAAGACGAGCAAAAACCGAGCAATGTTCCCCAATCATCACGTTCGTTGTGTCCAATCATGTTTTCTATGGGTATATTTTTTCCATCATATCCAGAAGAAATAAATTCTCTACTTGATTGGTGTTCTCATCATAGACTATGCCAGTAAAAAAAACATTGTTTTAAAGAGCTCTGATCTGTAGTTTCATCCATTATCAATAAGAAGAAATTTTTTTGGCAAGTAAGTTGAAATTTTTGGAACATTCTGTATTTCTAATATTTTTTTCTTATGGCGTTCTGAATTCATGTTTATAATCAGGTCACTTTTATGCGCTATGATTGAAACCGAACAGAGTTTACAGTTTGCTAAATCATTTCCATCTCTCGTGTTCGAATCTTTGCGTAACCAGCTTAAGAAGTTTGATTCATTAAGCCACAAATCGTTAAATTTACTTTATTTTTTGTGGCTGTGTATTATTTGAATCACAATATTCAAATCATACTGGACGCGGCGTCGGTCGAGTCTGCTTGTGTGAGCAGCGGCTGACGGCGATTCTGAATACGGGCCGAGGAGCGAGTGGCACCCGCCACTGGCGAGAGGGAACGCAAAAATCGACGTGGTGTAGCCAAGGGGTCCTCTGGGGCTGGCGGTCCAGACGGCTTATCCTCCTTATTCTCCTCATCAGAAGGGGCTAACTCAGTTGCCCCCGGAAGAAAGACTGTGAGCGACCTTCTCTGCGAGCGGCGGAGAGCCGCCGTTGGAGGGGCGTTCTCCTGGTTGCTCAGGGAGCGCAAATTATAGCTGGGCGTCTGGGAAGTACTCGGAGAATTGGAGCGGCGAACATGGCGGCGGCCCACAGAAATCGAATACGCCAATAACATGATCCTGTCATCATCAGAGTCAGATTCTTCCATGGCCTCTGGCTTATTTGGCTGTTTCTTTTCATCTTCTTCTGTATCTTCCGCATCTTCCGCCTCCGGGACATAGTCCTCGTCTCTAGCATTGTCATGGCCGTCCTGTTCGTCCTGGCTCTCCTGATCCTCAACCTGATCCTCCGGGTCGTCTGCAACCTGGATACCTTCGGAGACTGGGCTACAAACCTTGCATGTATAGGTGTTCTCGTCCTGGCTGCTGCAAAAGGGGTGCGCAGGATTCGCCCCGCATAGGATGCAGTACATCAAACTTTCAGCAAATACGTATCGAGTTCCACATATGCAGCGATCGGCGGTGCACATCTGATCCCTTTGAGTCTGCTCCACATAAGCATTCGGATCAGATTCCCAGGAAGCGTCACTAAACGGAACAGGCGAATAGTAATGTCGAATCGTTTCAGAATTGGAGCTGGAACTCACCTATTTGGCACTGAGATCCCGCGCAGAGCTACGTCATTAAATACAGTGTTATTGTTGCACAACGGGCATTTGAAAAAGTATCCGGCTGAGTTTGCGTACGACTGAAGGCAGTGTCGGTGGTACCATCCATTGCGACAGCAGGGTGGGTGGAGCATGGTGCTCAAATTAAACCGTTCCTCGCTCCCAGCCGGATGCTGCCATCCGGCATGCCGACGCGCTCACAGTTCTACTGCCTGCGGCAACCGAGTTAGCCCCTTCTGATGAGGAGAATAAAGAAGATAAGCCGTCTGGATCGCCATCCCCAGAGGACCCCTTGGCTACACCACGTCGATTTTTGCGTTCCCTCTCGGCAGTGGCGGCTGCCACTCGCTTCTCGGTATTCAGAATCGCCGTCAGCCGCTGCTCACATCAGCAGACTCGAACGACGCCGCGTCCAGTATGATTTGAAGGTTCCGCGAAACTCGCTCTGGGTCATGTTGTCGTACCCGCACTTGGTGTGAAAGGTGCGTCGGCATGCCGGATGGCAGCATCCAATATTCGCTCCCGGTTCGTGGCAATAATAACAGATCAAAGAGCGACAGCGCTCGGCCTCCGCAACGATGTCATCCGGCATAAAGCACTGGATTCCTTCGTCATCGGAGCCACTGCTTCAGATTTGAGCTCAAATACTGCAAAAACGCGTAAAGTTCTAGCGAAATTCGAACTCATTTGCGGCACAGAAACTCACCAAGCAATTTGTATCCACATCCACATATTCTCGTGATTCTTAACTGCCCCGAAAATTAATTCATCCTTTTCATTTTCCAGCTCGGGCTTCCCCGCCAAAAGTATTTATCAAAGGTGACTCCGTTCGGCAGTCTTGGGAAGTGAACGAAAAAGTGTTCGTACAGCCTACTCAAGCTTCTCTTGGTAAAAGATCGGCTAGTCATCTCGGCCATCGGGTGAATTGATTCCGGGAATCTACATAAAAAAGAAAAGGGGTTCCGATGTTGCGAGACTTGGTTTGCCCACCTATCCAAATCCTGGGGTCAAAACCCATTATGTCCGTGATAGCCCCTGCTTCGACGGTCTCAAGGGGGACTGTTAAGTCGGGTCAAAACAGGTGTTTTTAACACATTATAAATATTTATTTACCCACTAACAGAAATATAAAAAAATTTGCGTTAGTCTTAAAACATACATGTTCACTATAATTAATTATACGGAGCAAATACTAACGTAAATCTAATAATGTCAAAAATATTTATATGTGGCAAGAGAAATTTAAAGAATTAAAACTAAAAGATTAAATGAATGGGCTTTTCAAAAATAATAAAAACAAATCACATATGAGCAAGATTTTCATATAAAAGCAATAAAATTACATGGCGATCACATCGAACATATAAACGAACATATGAAATGGTTCGATTGGGTTGGGCTAGCGGACTAACAATTTATTCTAGGATTTCTTTTTTTTTTTATTTAAAAGTTTTTATTTAAAAACTAGCAGTACCCTGCCACGTTTCGCTGTGGCATATTGTTGTTGCACGCATAAAAAATAAGTCAAACAAAAAATAATAATTTTCAAATTAATTAAATTCTGTAATACTTGTGGGTATACAATATTCTTTGTTTCTCCTCCTTAATCATTCATTATTATTTCTGTATTTTAGTATATAGGTTGCTCTTTACTCAAGCACCTTGTGATACACGACATTTTTTTTTTTATTATCAGGCGCAAAAACAAACAACGCAGATGGTTTTCCGACCCGTGAACATGCCACGTATAATTGACCATGGGAAAAACATGAATGTTCTAGATTTAAACCACAAACTTTTAAGGATTGGGCTTGTGATTTGTTGATTGTCATGGCAAATGCAAGACGTATCGGAAATTGAAGTCTTTTAAATTCAAACGGCATATCGGTTGGGATCATCGGGATCCTCGGAATTAGAACTTCCTCACCTTTGAATTTTCCTATCATTATCGTAGCGTAAATTACATTGTTCATCAATTTACTAACCACCAAACGCGTACCGTTGCACAGTTTTGGTTGGTTTATGTTTCGAAGCATGATTACTACGGAGCCAACCTTTAGGCGTAAATTGTGCGGTGGTAAGCCAGGCACGTCCAAAGAGTTTAAAAATTCAATTGGATAGTTGGTGGCTTCATCTTCATTTGTGACGCAGTCAATAGATTTGAATGAATGCATTGTTCCAATGATCTTATTTTGAATTATGTAGTTCAGGTCATCTACATCTTTATTCTTAGCCGCTAAAATTGCTCGCTCACTCAACCATTCATTATTTTTGTAGTTAGAAATAATATTTGGAAATACATTGTTGATAAGTTCGTCTTTTGATGAGACAAAATTACAAAAATTATTTGGAAATGATATTAATCCGCTCGATTCATCGACAGGTACTTGACCATTACCGATAGTCAGCAATTGCTCCGAGAAATCTTCAGCAGATGTATCATTAAGTAATGTAACTCTCATGTTTGTTATCAGCTGCAGTTTCTTCACATAGCGCCATAGATTTGACGATTTGAGGCAAGCGTTTATTTCGTCGGCAGCCGCAGATCTTGGAATTACTGGCAACTTCACTTTATCATTAACGCAGCATAATCCAGGCGTTTCTCCGGAAAACTTTAATGCACCACAATACTCGCAAACAACGTCCATTTGCCCAATGCAAACGCTAGGATGCAAGCTGTAATCATTGCTGCAATCGTATCGAAACGCAGCTCGATTCAAATCAGCTAAAATTTTTCGTCGCAAATTAAAATCTATTTGAGAAGCACGAAGTCGAGCCTTACTATTGCAGCTCTGTTCACGTGCAATTTCTCGTTCTTCTTCAGTCCTTTCATATGCAGTATTTTGTATTCTTCTTGCATTACGGCTTTGTCGGGAAATATTCGATCGTCTTGGTCGCGGCATTATTAATTAAACTTCACTTCACTTCAATCCACTTGTTAATTATTTATTTAATAGAAATAGTTTTAATATTGATTTCTTACAAATATCAATAGAGAGTGCAGAGGCTCTAGTGGTGCTTCAAGTTGAGGCAATTTCACTTTCCCGGAAGCGCAACACAATCTTTTTGGTTCGTTGTTAAATTTGAGAGCCTGACTATGAATTTGACTTCGTTTGTAACTGACATTTTGACATTTGACATTTTCTTCTTAGCTGTCTGCCTAAATAAAAAAGTATGGGCCAGGGAGGAACGCTGTCGAACGGGACAAAAAGTATCCTATGTCCTTCTCCTGGCTCTAAGCTACCTCCCTACCAATTTTCACTCAAATCTGTTCTTCCGTTCTTGATTTATAAGTGTTGTAACATAAAACACGTTGTTCTTTTATATATATAGATTTAAAAAAGTTCTAGATCTGGAGTCCCGCTTCGAAAGCCTTAATGCCAAAGTTGACCTTGCCCTGGTAAATGGAGCGGCTGCGCCCGCTGGACGCGCCTCTTCGGCTGGGGTGCATGTTGTTGCTCCCCCTGCTATGCCCACCAGCACTGGGAGCCAAAAGGCTACACTGGGCCAGGCCCCAACGGCATCTAAGGGGGCTGTCCCGAGGAAGAAGCGGATAAACCCCAATAGACGCATTGTGGGACAAGCACCCAGTTGCGCTCAACTTCAAGTGCTTCCCACCTTGAAATACCTTCATTTTGGTAAATTCGCGACGTCTCCCCAACCAGATGCACTGTGAAAGTTTGTCGCAGATAAGCTGAACGTGGAGCCCAATGATTTAGTCTGTGCTAGGCTGCAGCAGATGCATTTGTTCCAAATCCTTGGAACGGTCTTCCTCCCGCAATAGGGCAGTATTGGGAACGGATCTTCGCACCTAGCACCCAAGGCCGAGAGTGTAGGTTCTCATGAAAGTCAGGCACTATAGCCGAAGTGACGGGATGGCCTCTTGGAAGAATATTCGTATGGCCTCTTTCCAAGACGAAGCTACCAGCATCTCATCTTCAAAGGGAGAAAGCGGGCTTGAGGATAGAACCAATCTGCCTGATCTCAACAAGCTTATCTCTTCCTTAGACTCAGAACGCTGGGCTAGAGTCTTCCACATTCTTCACTGCGTTGCACACTTTTACCAAAATTATAATACCCTCTGCAAGGGTATAAACAGCTTATGGATAAAGGGTAATACTTTTAGGTACTAAGAAAGTAACTTTTTTGACCTTTATTCACCGTATTGTTTATTAATTGCTTATATAATTAACAATTGTATATTGCTTATATAATTAATTAACAATTGTTTATAATTAACAATTGCTACTGAACTGATCTTCTGATAAAAGGGAGCATCATGTTCACGTATTCGGCGCAGCTATCCTTTAGACTCTGGATGTTAGGAATAAATCGAAGAGCCAATATCTCTTTTTTCTAAAATAAGGAAAAATATAAAAATTACAGATTTGAAAAGAATGAGTATGCGTTTTTGGGGGAAAAACGTACAATATTGGGGCCTGCAATTACTCTTCGGAGCTTCTGAACATTGGTTTTGTCCTCCTCCAGGTCACTCTCCATTTCTTTCACTTTTTCGGTGGCATTCTCAATCTTTTGCGTCAGGTCCGTGAAGAAATGCTCAATAAGCTCTACTTGCTCCTGGTAAGGTTTCATTCGTTTCCAATGAACCAAATCGGTGATACCAAACGCGGCAAAGGCATAGGTGAAGCCCAGTGAAGCACCAATCGGTCCAAAAACCAGGAAACCGATCGCATCAAACAAGGCGCCAAGAGAATCAACAGAGTGAGGGTTGATTCTCTTCTGCAGATCCACCTTTTCTTCGCTATAGAAGCCCCCTGGGCCGAAATCGTCGTGGACATCATGCGAAATATCTTTAAACGCATTTTTGAGCTGAGCAGTTTTGTATTGGACATTGGAGAGGAGTTCCAAAGATTTTCCGGTTTTTGTGAGGCCCGATTCCAGAGTAGACACGGTCAGGTTCCAGATTAGAATCCTATTCGTTTCCGACAGTTTGCTGTCCCCAATTTTATCGATGAAGATATTAAAGGGGACGGTGGAGGAAATGCACCAATCGAAAACTGAGCCCACACAGTTTTGGTAGGTGAGACGGGCTTGGGAGTTCAAAGGGCGAATCTGAGGCAGCTTGTCCTTGGCTTTGCCCTTGTATCTCAGCATGGCTTTATCAATCTCATCGATGGCATCCTGCAGCTCCGCAAACTTCACCTTCCTGTCGAACTCGGCTTGATATTTCACCAGGATTTTCGACAAACTTTCAATGCCTTTTTTGATATCAAGCTCGGTCTCATCGCACCTGGCAAAGAAAGGACAAAACGCACAAAATGCAAGTGCCGTTGTCAAAATGACGGCAGAAGGATCCTTTCCCATAACTGATCAAGGAGGATTAATCCACTGGCGAGGAGCTGACTGGTGCTTCCCTGACGAGAGAAGATCCGCTATTCTTTTCGAAATGTACGATTTTCGGTCTTATATATACCCAAAAAGTGAATACACCAAAGAACACTTAACACTAATTCGGTTCTTGGGAACTGTTAATAATTCCTAAATCAAGAGATGTATCGTAGTTGCAAATAAAAGACTCAGATTTCGCGGAAGCTAATAGGCATTAATGAAGAAGTTCTTTAATATTCAATTTAGACATTCTCCTTATCTTTTGAGGGAGGCGGAATCGGGGCTCAGTGTGATTATGACATTGAAACTTTTTTGCAAATTTTGACATTAAAATGTATGCTTTTACTGATAGTGATATTTTTTGGACACATATTTTCCTTTATGTGTCCATAACGAAGTTCGAATAAATGCCCGAAAAGGGTGGGGTGAATTGAAATTTAAGATTTATTAACATTTACAAATGGTATCACAAAAGCCATGATTCCCAGAATCATACATATATGTACATATACATTTTCAGATCTATAAGTATATGGGTAGTTCTCAAGAAAGGTCAACCACAAGTTGCAAGTTCATGAAAAGGTGTTTTTCAAATATTTTTATTCAAATATTATCTATTCATTTCCATCCAGCGTGTGAGTTTGATGAACATCAATTGCACGGTAATTTGGAACGTATGAAGAGACTTAGTAGGATCTGCCTACTCGGTGCGCGTCGATCTGCCGGACCGCTTGTGTGGATTAGCCTCCGGAGGCTATACAACTACTTATTAACATTCCGAACTTAATGCGGCAATGTGATAGCTGCGTCATTGGAAATGATTCGCATTCCAAAATTGATGAGCTGAATCATAAGGTTCTGGATCTAGAATCCCTTTTCGAAAGCCTATGCCAAAGTGGATCATGCCCTGGTAAATGGAGCGGCTGTGCCCGCTGGACGCGCCTCTTCGGCTGGAGTCCATGCTGTTGCTCCCCTTCTATGCCTACCATCACTGGGAGCACCTACCAAAGGCTACACTGGGCCAGGCCCCAACGGCATCTAAGGGATCTGTCCCGAGGAAGAAGAAGGCTGTCAGCTTCAAGTGCTTCCCACCTTAAAATACCTTCATATTGGTAAATTCGCGAAGTCTACCCTGATCAAGGCTGATCCAAAAAGAATGCTGACATCAACGCCCTCAAGTTCGTCAACTTTAAATTGGGAGTTCCGGATCAAAATTTCCCTACAGCCTTCAATGATGATTTTTGGCCTATGTAGGTAAAAGTCAGCCGGTTTGTTCATAGAGAGCCTGCTAAGGTTATTGACCTCCCGGCGATTCTACCTTTACCGCAATCTTCAAAAAAACCCCAGTAAGCGTAACCTCTTATTCTTCTCAAGCTGCAGTTCGTCTGTCTTCAATTCCTCCAATAATTGGCTTCGTTTGCTGATCGATATTCTTCAACTACAACAACTTTTTTCAAGGCGAGTTGTTTATTTCTTATCTTCACTTGTGGATGCCCAGCAACAACAAGACGATGGTAATCGAGACGTTGGCAGCGCATCGCTCATCTTATCTTTTTTTCGCCGATGGAAGATGTTTATTTACGTTTTGGACGTGTGGGTAGATCTTTGCTGCGTTTGGGTGTGCCTGACTATGAAAGCTCAATGTTTTCACCTGGCACTGGATTTGCCTTGCAACTGGACTCTCGCAGGTCTACTGATGGGTCTAATGGAAATTTCTATGTGTCCTTGTCGGCTATTTTGCAAGCTATGCGTATTGGATATGCCTCCACATGCACCAGTACCAGGAGTGCACTTTCACCATCACCGCCTTGCCGTCCAATTCCCAGTTTGGACTGTAGCTACTCGTCGTCCTTGGACCCTAATAAAAGCCTAAAAGTTCTATTCCAAAATATATCGGGAATGAGAACCAAGACCCGGATGGTATTCCTCAATTCTTCTGCCTGCGATTTTGATGTAATCATCCTTGTGGAAAGTCCTCTGAGTTCTTCGAACCTAACTTGTACCATGTATTTCGAAAAGACCGAGATGCATTGAGTACCCAGTGTGGGCGAGGTGGAGGTGTGATCATCGCTATCCCTCGATCTCTTCAGGCTACACCACTGCGCCTTCCGGTGGCCGACCCTATACTGGATCAGCTTGCTGTTTCAATCCAGGGCTTCCAGGGCCCGTTCGTCATCATTGCATCATACATCCCTCCGAACAGCGCATTTAGTATATATCATGCGCATATGGAAAACATCACTAGTGTCTGTGCTAGAACGTCGGACCCTACCGCTTTGATGGTAGCTGGCGATTTCAACCTGAGCTCCATTGTCTGGACCCGGAATCTCCCTGCATGCTACCTAGCAACGTTCACCAGAGTCATGAAATTGTAGTTTTAGATGATATTTTTAGTGTGGGCCTCTCCCAAGTAAATAGTATTTTTAATGATTTATCCAAAATTCTTGATCTTATATTTTTAAATAATTTGATTAATAGTAAAGTAGAATTATGCAATGTACCATTAAGTCCTTGTGATATGCACCACAAGCCGTTGGTAATTAACATTGAGTTTTATAGTTTTTTGCCTTCTGCAGCCCCCATTCCATATTATCATCTGAATGATACTAACTTGTCACTTATTAACGCCTCTATTTCAGCCTTTGATTGGGTTTCCCTTTTTTCGGAAGGCTCAATCGATGATTGTTATACTAAGTTCTTGGTTGCCCTTTTTAATATTATTGATACTTATGCCCCTGTGAGGGTACGAAGATCCTATAGGCTTCCCTGGTATACAAAAGGTTTAAAAAATTTAAAGAATAGAAGGGATAAGCACTACAAACGATTTATAATGACAGGTGAGACTCGAGCAGGAGAGCTGTACCGGCAATTTAAGCGGGAATTTGATTTCCTTAATAAGTTCCTCTACAATCAGTATATATCCGATGTTGAAGCTAGCCTTCGATCCAATCCTAAAGCTTTTTGGCGGTTTTTTAACAGCAAAAAGTCAAAATCGGACATACCTTCATCCATATGTTATGGTAATTTAGCAGCCGACTCGGATCAGGGCGTTTCTGATCTTTTTGCAGAATACTTTGCCTCTAACTTGGAGCCGAAGGTTCCTTGGAGTGATTATGAAACTCTTCTTAGCATTGAGCCTTTTCTCAATGTGAGTAACATGGACGTTTTGGACGATATGGTCAATCTTCCGTATGGAACTTTTTTGACAAGTCGACTGATGGCAGGACAGCCAAATGTATTAAATGTGGCAAAACATACCAAACAAGTGGCTATACGAGCAACTTGTCTTGCCACTTCAAGAGGATACATCCATTCATAAAAAAAAATATGATATGTCCTCGAATAGAAAGCAAAAACTGGTCAGTGCCTTATGCGAGTACATTTGCTCGGACTTGCGCCCTCTATCAGTGGTAGAAAATAAAGGCTTCCGCAATTTTGTAAACCAGCTCGATCCAAGGTACGAATTGCCTTCACGAGCCACGTTAAGGAACGTTCATTTGGAAAATGCATTCAAAGAAAAGAAGGCAAAGTTGTCTGCCTTTTTAGATGTGATGATGAATGTTAAAAGCATGTGAGATACTGCAAATTAGACATATTCCATGCTTTGCCCATTTAATTAATTTGACCGTCCAGGACTGTTTGGCAGCGGAAAAAATAAAGCCCGTTCTGGACAAATGTAAGCGAATTTTATCTTTTTTTAAAAGTAGTACAATTGCGTATGCCAAGTTGGAAGAGGCCCAGGAGTCCGAACGTCCATATAGTTTAAAACAAGAAGGTCCCACAAGGTGGAACAGCGCCTTCTATATGGTAGAGAGGATACTTTTAACAAAGGTTGCCATCGCAAGTGTGCTCCTCAACACGCCCAAAGGGTTAATGCCGCTTACGGCGGATGAAGTGTCCATTCTAGGGGATTTAAAGGCCATTCTATCACCGTTTGAGCATGCGACAGTACACACATCGTCAAGTTCTTCAGTAACTGTGTCGTCGGTTTCCTGTGGTTTGTGGGATTTTGGACAATCTAACGGCTCTCAGATCAACGCTCCAGACTAAGGTGGGTCAAGATGCCTGTGAAAATCTACTTGAAGGGGTCAATAGAAGATTGGTCCCCTTTAAAAGTCGATCAGTATCAAGAATGACCACAATTCTTGACCCTCGTTTCAAGAAGGAAGGATTTTGGAATTCGTTCAACTCCTTCCAAGCGGTGAAATCTTTAGAGGAGGAACTGACCCACATCAACGCTCTAACAAAGTCTTCAACATGTTCTAGCCCGCCAACACCAGAACCAGCTGCAGAAACCACCGCTTTATTTAGCTTTTTACAATCAAGCAAATCGTACAAAGTCCAAAGCCCTCGCGTGGATTCAATATTAGCATTGCGGCATTACTTAAATGCTAGTAATTTGGACCCTGCTCAAAATCCATTAGATTACTGGAAGGTAAAAAAAATTAACAATTTAGTTTGTAACTATCTTAAAAATCGAATTTCTTCTTTCTACAGATATCAACAGACAATGCATTTAAAAAGTGCATTTTTAAATACTTTTGCGTACCGGCCACTTTCACAGAAAGTGAGAGAATGTTCAGCAAAGCAGGACTTCTCGTAAGCGAGAAGCGAAGCTCGCTAAAACAAAAGAATGTTAACATGATTTTGTTTCTAAACAAAAATGACTGGATTTAGTTTTAATTTTCTTTTTTCGCTTTGTTTTTGTTGAGTAAAACTCGTTGCTGTTATTTTCGTTTCAATTATTTTTTCATTGCGTTCTATGAAACACCAGCTTTAAGTTTCATTTTTAATATAAGAGTAGTATTTAAGAGTCATTTTGAATTTTGAAATATTATTAAAGAAAACTATGGATCTCACACAAAGCGTAATTTTTTATAAATAAATTACACCTTCTATTAATTTATTTTTAATAAATAAATATATTTTAATATGATATGGTGTGAGAAAATTTTTTTTAATCGATGATTTTCCAGCTCAATTAAGAGGAGTATCGCTTCCCTTTTTACTCCCCTTCAACTGCTGTTCTCCTTGACGCTCTCATCTGGTAGATTCCCCTTGGAAGATTAATTCTATAACGCTTATTCACAAAAGTGGCAGTAGGTCTGATGTTACCAACTATCGACATATAGCCAAAATTTGCAACGTCGCTAAGATACTGCAGCGGATAGTAACTAAAAAATTGACTTTTCTGGCTCGCAATTTTATATCCCCCAACCAGCATGGTTTTTGCCTGGGAGGTCCACTGCAACTAATTTAGCGGTCTTCTCTAAGCACTGCTTTGAAGCTTTTGAAAACCGATTTCAGGTTAATGCCATTTACTCCAAAAAAAATTTTTAAAATTTGCTCTTCTGCCCCTAAGGTTTCAGGATCCTGTTCCTTCATACCAGAGCCGTTGCCTTCTTCTGAATGTTTGCACGTTGGAGGATCGACGTAAACTGGCAGCTTTAACTTTTTTGAACAGTTTAGTCGTTGATAACATTGATTGTCCTTTTTTATTGGGACTCATTAATTTTAATGTTCCTTAAAGGGATCTTCGTACCTTTGCCCCCTTTCGGGTCAAGTGTCACAGGCCAATTATCTTTTAAATGGGCCGATTGAGCAGGCTCTTTCTTATTTTAATTCTTTGCCGCCTAGCCTCCGAATTGAGTGGGGCTCTGATAAGGGTGTGTTAAAACGCATGTTGATCAGGCACTTATTAAGTTTTTATTAGTATTGCAGTATTATTTATTAGTTTGTAAGTTGTTATTATGTAGCCATGTAAGGATTTGTCCGTTGGCGAAATAAATAAATAAATAGATTAAAAAAAAAAAAAAGTGCTCCGGTTCACCGCGCCGGGGTCGCCGGACGCCTCCCCGGTGTACCCTGGGTCACACTCGGGCCGTTTTCCCGCCGGAAAATTGGTAGTTTTTCTCGATTTCTTTTCTTCGCCAAAATTTGGCGCTGATCCCTCCATGGCCTTTTGCCCGGAGAGACAATGCCCCAACGGAAAATTTGCCATCTTAACCGGTTGCACTCCTCCTAATCTCTCTGTGGCCCTTTCTAATCTGAAACTTCTCTCCTAGATGGCCCACCTTTCCCAACTACCTTTCTTTTAAAAGATACAAGCGTTACGCAACGCCTTCCATCCTCCGCCCAGGCAGAACTCGCCCATGGCCACCACTTCAAGACTCTGGTCATCAGTACTCCCAAGCCTTTCGTCTTCCATGTGGAGCTCCATCGGCCCACCAAGCTCAATGCCATAAACAAGCAGATGTGGATGTAGGTGAAGGCCTCCAATAAATAAGGGAGATTGTAGAATTCTATAATCCTCAGGGAGATCAAGGAGTGCTTCGAAGGTCTCTCCACGAACCCCGGACTCTGGGGGCGGCCAGCATTTCCTATCGGCCGGCCAGGGTTGACCAGCCGACACCTACCAGTCGCGGTGGGAGCCAGTTTCAAAAATGTGTTCAAGCGGGACAACGACATGGCTGCAGAATGATTTCCAAATTCAAATCCACTTGCAACAGCGAAATTGTTTGGTTTTATATTATTATCGATAGGTCGATAAATTACTGCAACGGTGATGCCACATAGTGGGAATTGCATATCGATGGCACTATCGAAAAGTCCTCTTAGAAATGGTCTACCTTCTAGGCGAAATAAATTGCATATCCAAGCTAATTTCAGTTCTTTGTGTGAATTTCGCAAATACGTGGTAACAAAATTTATTTTTCAATAAATATATTCCAAAGACCGCTTCTTGTTTTGAGTTGCGATAGTGTTAGTAGGTTGTACCAACACTTTTTCGTTCACTTCCCAACACTGCCGAACGGAGTCACCTTTGATAAATACTTTTGGCGGGTCGGACGCCCGAGCTGGAAACTTCACAATCAAATTGTTATTCTTTTGATGTGCACCTACAATTCGGTTTGGGAGATATTTTTTTTGTGAACCGAACACAAGGGAAAACACATAATGGCGCCGTGCGTGCTGTGTCGTAGCTATGTAAAGGACGAATTAATTTTCGGGGCAGTTAAGGAACACGAGAATATGTGGATGCATACAAATTGCTTGGTGAGTTTCTGTGCCGCGAATGAGTTCGTAATTGCTTTACGCGGAACTTTACGGGTTTTTGCAGTATTTGAGCTCAAATCTGAAGCAGTGTGGCTCCGAGGACGAAGGAATCCTGTGCTTCATGCCGGATGACATCGTTGCGGAGGCCGAGCGCTGTCGCTCTCTGATCTGTTATTATTGCCACGAACCGGGAGCGAATATTGGATGCTGCCAGCCGGCATGCCGACGCACCTTTCACACCAAGTGCGGGTACGACAACATGACCCAGAGCGAGTTTCGCGGAACCTTCAAATCATACTGCCACCAGCATGTGCGCAGCTACCGCTACCGCCCCGCTCCCAACGAAGACTGCGTCATATGCCAAGATCGCCTGGCTGGGAGCGAGGAACGGTTTAATGTGAGCACCATGCTCCACTCACCCTGCTGTCGCAATGGATGGTACCACCGACACTGCCTTCAGTCGTATGCAAACTCAGCCGGATACTTTTTCAAATGCCCGTTGTGCAACAACAACACTGTATTTAATGACGTAGCTCTGCGCGGGATCTCAGTGCCAAATAGGTGAGTTCCAGCTCCAATTCTGAAACGATTCGACATTACTATTCGCATGTTCCGTTTAGTGACGCTTCCTGGGAATCTGATCCGAATGCTTATGTGGAGCAGACTCAAAGGGATCAGATGTGCACCGCCGATCGCTGCATATGTGGAACTCGATACGTATTTGCTGAAAGTTTGATGTACTGCATCCTATGCGGGGCGAATCCTGCGCACCCCTTCTGCAGCCGCCAGGACGAGAACACCTACACATGCAAGGTTTGTAGCCCAGTCTCCGAAGGTATCCAGGTTGCAGACGACCCGGAGGATCAGGTTGAGGAGCAGGAGAGCCAGGACGAACAGGACGACCATGACAATGCTAGAGACGAGGACTATGTCCCGGAGGCGGAAGATGCGGAAGATACAGAAGAAGATGAAAAGAAGCAGCCAAATAAGCCAGAGGCCATGGAAGAATCTGACTCTGATGATGACAGGATCATGTTATTGGCGTATTCGAATTCTGTGGGCCGCCGCCATGTTCGCCGCTCCAATTCTCCGAGTACTTCCCAGACGCCCAGCTATAATTTGCGCTCCCTGAGCAACCAGGAGAACGCCCCTCCAACGGCGGCTCTCCGCCGCTCGCAGAGAAGGTCGCTCACAGTCTTTCTTCCGGCGGCAACCGAGTTAGCTCCATCTGATGAGGAGAATAAGGAGGATAAGCCAGCCCCAGAGGACCCCTTGGCTACACCACGTCAATTTCTGCGTTCCCTCTCGCCAGTGGCGGCTGCCACTCGCTCCTCGGCCCGTATTCAGAATCGCCGTCAGCCGCTGCTCACACAAGCAGACTCGAACGATGCCGCGTCCACTAGTGCTGGAGCGCGTGCTCGTCGCTTTACGACCACTGGAGCATCCGCTTCCTTGAACGACTTGGCTCCACCGAACCTGGACATATCCTGTGTGGCAAACAGGACCCGCAGGCGCTTGCCCTTCTACAGGGGCCGCCGCAGATAGGCTCAGTTTCTCAAGCAACTATTCAAGAATTATTCATCTGAAATACTTAAACATTTACATTTACCGGATGGCGAGCTTCGTTATCATTCCCTAAATTATCCTGTTGTAGCGTTAAGTTTTGGCAAGTAGGACTCGCCGAGGATTTCGATGAGGAATTGCATTCCGCAATTGTATCTCTCAGGACAAGAATTTTCCCAGGATAGCAAGCACTGTTATCATTTCCAAAATTATCCTGTTACGCGTTACCCTGTTATTTGGAATTTGTACATGCTTAACACTTGTATCTTTAACCTTTCCAATAATAACACTAACAACCAACGTATTGCATAAGTATGTATATATCCTGGTATCTGCAGCACCAGTCTAAGCGAGATAGCTGAAGATGCTCCTAAGCGAAAGAGAGGGAAGACAAGGCTTTTAGTTTTTTAATTTTTTTGTTTCTAGATCTTAAATTATGGTGCCCATATCTTGAAGTTTGAAAGGTTTTGTATATTTTCTGTACATATTATTTAAGACTATTTTTTACTTACAAAATTGCTGTGCGATGAATAGTAACCAACAGGCAATGGATTTTCTTATTTATTTCCTAAGAGTAAGTTTGAAGTTTATTTAAAATATTATTTTAAGTATTGCAACGGAAGTATTAACAAATTTTTTATTTAAAATAAAATTAATCCATTTCATTTAAATTAACTTATTATTTTTTTTTAGTTTTTTTTGTAACGAATAATCAAAAACTATGGTTTCCTTAATAGTTGTTAAAAAATATTAAACTTAAGAAGCAATTGAAATCAAATGACAATATAAAAATCGTTAAAAACTTTGTTGTCTTTTTTTAATGAAAAATTAGCAAATATAAAGCAAGAGATGCAAATATTAATTAGAGGGGTATTTGGGTTTAAAAAAAAATGAAATTAAACAACCAGTGTGTGCCCACTGTGGAGGGCAAATCGCCCGCTCGCCCATCGATAACACGGCCGTGACAACGTGGCGATAACACGATATTCGCAACGCACCCACAAGCTGGCCACACTGGAGCATATAGTTTTTTGGTTTTACATGTATTTGTGCGTTAGTAATAGTTTATCCAGAATACAATTGTAAATTAAGGACCGACTTGGACGACCCTGAGCCGAGACAAAAGCCGCAGCCCCAACAGCCCAGCCGAGATGAAAGCTTGAGCCGACAGCGCGGTCAAAGGCAGCAAACTCCACTCACAAAATTCAGCAATCAGCCTGGCCTGCGTGTTCGTGTGTGGGTGTGCATGAGCGAGCGAGAGGGTGCGACAGAGGGAGACCGAGCGGTGTAGGTGTAGGGGAGTGTGTGCCTGTGTGTGTGATTGTGCCAGAAAATTGCAAGGGAGGCGGACTTGGCCAATTTGCAGCCCGTGAAGCCCAGAGCCCCGAGACCCGCAACACCGGAGTATCGCTCACCAAGCCATCCCATCATTCCGCCTAGCGCCACCCCAGCTGTTTGAAGAAGAAGAAGAAGCGGCAGCATCAGCATCAGCCGCAGCAGCGCAGCAGCCGCATCTGACAATGCAGCTCGCCCACACACCTAACAGTTGCTGATAAAAGTCAACGCACAGAACGCTAAGAAAAAAAAAAACCCACCAACAGAAGCGGCAAAGGAAGTGAAACAAAAACAGGAGAACAGCGCAGCGGCAGAGCCCAAAAATATATATTTTTTAATCAAGGGAAATTAAATAACAAGGCAGCCAAGCCAGAGCCGGGCGGCAACAACAACAACAACACTTATATAAATTGACACAGACCCCCCAACAACAACAACAACAATAGCCAGCTTATCACGCAGTAGCAACAACAACAACATCAGTAGAAGCATCACCAGAAAGCAAGAACAACAGTTTATCTCAAAAATATTCATATACGAAAAATAAAAAAATAAGAGAAGCCGGCATCCGTGTGTGCTGCTGCTGTGGGTGTGTGCGTAACAGCAGCACTAGCAACAAAAAAAATTTTATAATTTTTTGCGAAAAATATCTTTTTTTTTTTCTCTGTTGGCATTGTTGCAAGCTGCGAGCTGTAAACACCAAGCTACAAAAACAACAACAGCAAGGCGAAAATGGCACGCGGCTTCGATCATCTGTTCAAGCTGCTTATAATTGGCGACAGCGGTGAGTTTTTCCCAGGTTTTCCGACTTAAAAATAGCCAATCATACCCGGCGGCCGCGGATATAGATTTTGAGTTTGTTGTCCCAATTAAAGAGGGGGGGAGCCCAGTTAGCACAGCCGAAAAATATGCATTTTGTTTGGCAGCCAAAAGAACAGTCTCACGAGGCAGAAAGGGGCTTCCTTGATTAATAATTATGTTTAAAAATAAAAATAAACAAAATTTGTTAAGTAACTAATAATCATTAAATCATAAAATATTATCAAAAGTAATTATTAGAAACTGCTTACTAAAGTTTTAACTTGTTTTTAAGTTTTAAATAAAGCCAACCCCAACTCATGTGAAACTTTGGGGCTTAGAGTCTAGTCCCTAGACTATGTAATGCCATTAAACATCTATTTAATTATTAATAATTCTAATAACGAGAGTCCCAATCATACTCACTGATTACAGTATGGGTATTATATTATATTATATTTACACAGAGCTCAGCAAAAAATTAAATAAAAGGGCTTGGGAGGAAAATATATATTATATATAATATCTACATAATATCTATATAATATCTACATATCTTGAAAAATTTTTCTACGTAATTGAAAATTTAAAGAATTAAGTTTTAAAATGTATATATAGTTAAAAAAAAGGTTTTTGGAATTGTTCTTGAATTAAACTAGTTTGTTAGTCAATTTTTACTATTAATATATCCTTAAAAGTTCATTCTTATTATCTTCTTATTAAACATATTATTAAAAATTCGACCTAAATGAAGAATACACATTAAACAAAGCTTTCTCTTAAAAATACTATTTATTTTCATATTCCAATTCAGGGTTTTGTGGTTTATAAACTCGCTTAATACATTTTTCGACCTGACCACTATATTAGTCAGTATTTTTAATTTAAATATATTTCATTTAAATGCCTTAAAATATAAAAAAAAAGAACAATGTCTTAAAACTACTTTGAAAAAAGACAAAAGTTTTTTTAAAACTGAAGCAAAAGAGGTTTTTATTGAAAAAAAATATATTTTCAAATAGAAGAATTCCAAGTTTTAAGACTTTTAAGCTTAAAAAGATTCTTATAATAGTAATTTTGAAGCATTTAAATTTTAGCAAAACAACCTTCAAAATCACAGTAATTATAAGAAGATTAAAGAAAATATTATTAAATCCTTTAAAAAAGGGTTTCTTTTTCAAGAAATTCATAGGATTCTTGTATGTAGTCCCATTCCGAGTTCCAATTCCAATTTTCCGTTTTGAGTTTTTTGAAAATCGTTTTCAAAAAAAGGATTATTGAAAGTTAGAGTTAGAAGAAGAAACGCAAAGAAGAAGAATTTATTAGATTCTAGCTTTTTTTTTATATTTTTCGAGATCTTAATCATCCACTTTTGAGTTACGACCACCCCTTAATTGATTTTTAAAACCTTAGCATAAAGCTAACCCCAGTCAGGGCCCGGCACGGTCTCAGCGGATCAGCTTTCCAAGCCGACCAGGGCAGCCTGCCAACCAGATTTCCCGAAAACCGCACTGTGACTAATTCTGACTAACGAGGGGCAGGAAGTAATCCGTCACCACTCCCACTACAGCTCCCATCCCCTCTCATTCGGCTCCAGTTTCCAGTCTCCTGTAATCGAAGGCATTCCACATAAACGAATGAATCCCCGCCAGAAAGTAACTTAATCGGCAACTCTCTTCCTCCCCCCAGGCGTTGGCAAGTCATCGCTGCTCATCCGCTTCTCGGACGACACGTTCTCGGGCAGTTACATCACCACGATCGGAGTGGACTTCAAGATCCGCACCGTGGACATCGGGGGACTGCGAGTGAAGCTCCAGATCTGGGACACAGCCGGTCAGGAGAGGTTCCGGACGATCACCAGCACATACTACCGGGGCACGCACGGCGTCATTGTGGTCTACGATGTGACGAACGGGGAGTCCTTTGCGAACGTCCGCCGCTGGCTGGAGGAGATCCAAAACAACTGTGACGTGGTGAACAAAGTATTAGGTGAGTGCGAGGAGTAACGGATTTGGGAAAGGATGATCCTATCTAGTGTCCTTTCAGTTGGCAACAAGAACGATGATCCGGACAGGAAGGTGGTGATCACCGAGGACGCGCAGCGCTTCGCGAAACAAATGGACATCGAACTGTTCGAAACATCCGCCAAAGACAACATCAACGTGGACGAAATGTTCCTGTCGATAACGAAGCAGGTGCTCCAGCACAAGCTGCGCACCACCTCCAACGAGCAGCAGAAGGACACGATCCACCTGAAGAACACCCCGGGCACCAAGCGTCGGAAATGCTGCAGTTGAAAGCGGCTCCGGCATGGTAAATGGCACTGCAACTGGAACCGGAACTGGAGTTGGACGGAAGATCAGATCGAGGCGATGGCGTGGCGTCTGGAGAGGGTGGCTCCTGTGAGACGACGCAGAAGGCGCGGGAGGAGCAGGAGCAGGAGCTGGGAGAGCCGTACCCGGGACTGGATCGAGGCCAGAGCCGTGGGAAACGTTGCGGGGGGCGCGTAGTTAGTAGGACTTGTGGGTTATTCGGCGTATGGATACTACGGCACACACACACTCACACAAACACTATATATATATATATATATGTACGGCGTACACCCACACCGTTAGAAATAGCTTACACCAACAACAACACACCACACACACACATACACACACACCTCACATAGAGACAACCAATTTTTGTTTTGTTTTTTTTTCCCCCTTCCCCCGATCGTAATGTGTTTTATTCGGAATAATGCCAGAATAGCCGTAAAACAAAAGTGTAAAAGTGTAAAGCGCAATTAAATGTATTTAGCAATTTATATACATATTAATATATACATAAACGAAATCGAAACAAATCGCATATTTATAAAGCCAGAACATATATTTATATTTCTAAGCGAGAAGAGAGAAGCGAGCGAGAATGCGGAAGATTGTATTTACAATTGAATCAGCGGAGCCTGGAGCGCACTTGAACATGTCTGAGCATGTACGAACACGAATGTATACAACACACCCGTATAGTTAGGGCGACTAATCTGAAAACAATGGCTTCCAACTCAGAACTCTACACTCTTTCGAACTGAGGCGAGCACTCGGCCCGAGATCTATGACCAGAAGCTAAGAATATTCAAATCTACATATATATTTTTTTGCAATAGAAGCATATACATATATATATATATTATATAAAGAATCAGTAAAAGAAAGCTATTATCAAAGATGTAATTGCTAGGTGTGCAGTGTGCTTTTAAAAAAGCATTAATATTGATTAAAATTATATTCAGAAACTGCCATTCCAAAAGATATGTTTATGCTGCCAGGATACTTGATTTTAAGTATTAATTATTTTTCAAAATTAATTTTTTTTTTTTTAACTTTTCAAACACACTGCACACGAAAGAAATCGAAATTGGGAATATTTCCTTGCATCTGTATTTATTTAGACGATATTCCAAACGATATCCCAGACACTCATGAATTGTGTATGTATTGTGTTTCAACACCAAAAATAATGAATTATTATCCTTTTCGCTGCAAGAGACTTTCGAAAAGCGCGGCAGACTCATAGTTACGGAAACAGAAGACTATGCCATGAATACAAAGCATGAACCATACCAACCAGAATGGAAACTATATTTATATATATATAGCGGTCTATATATATCTGTATATATTTATCGATCGAATAAAGAAAATAATTTGATTTTCTAACAGAGTTGAGGGTTCATTGAAGCACCTTTTGAAGGTAAAAGGAATCGATTTATGTTCGAATACTTATTTATTTGTTAATTCATTCCAATTCAAGAGAAATTTTTTTTTTTTTTTATGTATTGCGTATTTATAAACTTTGTTTTGTTCATGTTTTATTTTCGCTTTTGTGGGCCTAGTAACTAAATAATGAACATTTTAAAAATATCTCGTTTTGTCTGTAATTTTAACGCCAAACAGTTTAAAAAATTAGTTATTCTTTTATTTTTTGGGAAATGTATCCAATGGGATTGTATACAAATTTCAGACTGATTGGTTGAGCCGATTTCAAGAAATCTCGATCGTTGAACCGACTTTGAAATAAAATGTTTTCGAATTGAAAATGTACCTTCACAAAGTAGGGTATATCTCGTAAATCCGAGGGAATAGAGCTTCCAAAAACAATAATCTCTCAAAGAGTAAGATCTATATTTTATTCCCTTGAAGAAGGTGTTATCATTTTGATTATATATTATATATTTACTATATAAATGGACGCATTTCCTCAAGCGTATCGTAAGTTGAAAAATCGCACTTTACAGACAGTCCACGAGGTGACGAACCGAATGTATTACAGTGCGCGTGGATACACTATGTATAGCCGAAGAATTTTCATTTGTTCTGTTACGTATTATTCGCCTGGAACCCCTCTTCTTTAGTTGGTAGAAGCTTGGCCATCTCAAATTATTTTCCTAGTTGATGTTATTAAAAAATACATATTTTTTAATTTTTGTATTTTAAAAGAATTACATGGTGATACGTATTTTAAAATATTGTAAGACACATTTAAACAATCGAGGATCCATGATGATAATGATAATCCATGCATAGTTTACTTCCCATTTTCCCATTTTAGATAAACAATATGATGTCAAAGACATTTCTGCCAGCAGTAGGTAAATACCTCACTTTTTTGGATTTTGAATTTTTGGATATAATTAAGGATATAAGGAATTTTTCAAATGTTAAGATAAATCTCAGTTCTATACTCCAATGCACTATGGGGTTTTTGACCTGTTTTTGTGGCAACAATTAATAACTCGGTCAGTTTTAGAGATATCGACATGAAACTTTACCAATCGTTATTATTTGATTTTAGGCACATATAGTATGAAAATCGTTCGGATCAGGAAACTATATCCAATAGCTCCCATAGGAACGATTTGGTAAAAGTAAAGATAAATTAATGAAATTTAAGGAGCTGATATTTTTTGCTATTTTAATACGATATAGCAATTTTGAACCAAATCGGATAACGCTTTCCCTGGGAACTGTCAGCTTAAAATACCGGATTTCAGTGTTCTTCCATACAAATGCATATAAAAGTTGAAAAAGAAAAATTTCTTCATACAGTAGTATTAATCTTATTATTCATTTATTTTATTTTCTATAATATATCAATATTATCTAAAAAAACAAGCTGGAATCGTTAAATTCGTCATCTTCGAGACAAACATTATTGTCGTATTCGTACGAAAGCATCTCAATTACCTCAATTGGAAGTAAGAGACTCTTTAGTTTTTTATGCATCTCGATAAATTAAGGACGAAATAATTGGATCTGATGTGTGCATAGCTCTGTTGAACACATCAACGATGGAATGTAATCGGTAGTGTTTTCTTGAATGGTGATGCCTGTCTGATTTGTACAGCTTGTTTCAGGACTCAGACGCTTCTTCTCAAAAATAGCCGACTGGAAGCACCGTATTTTCCATTACTTCCATTAAAAACTGGTGGCTTTTTTTTTCAAAACGGCATTATCCACATTGATATTTGTATGGCGTTCCAAAAAAAATTGTACAGCCATTTGATGCTCAGCCCGGCCCCTTTCGCTGTTCCAAGCAGCGACCAAATCGGCTTTGGAGAAAGTGAGGTTGTGAAAAAATTCAAATTGCACCAATAGTGGAGAAAAGTGCACAATAAGACTAACAGCCTTTGCTCAGTATTGACAACGCTACAACATACACTTGGACGCATTGAAAACTTTCTATTCCTTCTATTTCAAAACTCTTTCCAAAGTTGAAATTTGTTTCCCAAAATTCCGCTTAAGGTGCATCTATAAAATGACAAAATTTTAGTATAGACACGCACAATTTATACAGTTAATACAATTAACATGTAGTACAAGCCTGTGAAATCAGTGTCCATTACTATTTTTCTTTTTAAACGGAGTTTTAAACAAATAATCTAATTTCACAGATCACTATGTGAAAATTGCAAACTTAGCGCACGTACTTTCGGATGCAACAGCTGACTTTGCAGCTGTTATGCTAGCATATGGTGCTAATAATTAATATTTTGAGTATGAGGCATAATAGTTTGATGTTTTCTTAATACATTCCTATTAACTTTTTTTTAAATTAGAGAACTTTCAAAAAATGATTAAATGCCACATAAAGTGGTCAAAAACCCCATAGTGCAGGTGCGGATCCACGGGGGAGTTTTCAGGTCAGGACCCCCTCCTTTCCCTTTCGAAAATAAGGCTCCACCAGAAGTTAGCTTTACTTTCTTGTTATTAATGATATCCCTATCTTTTTCTACCGAGTCATTGTAAAACGCTAGGAATCTTGACTCGGTTAAACATTAGTTTGGTTGAAGGGGATCCTGTCATTCTATAGCAGTGGGGGGGCAAAATGTTTAAAATTGTTTAAAATTTAAAATTTGAGTGTATGCCCAGCAGAGAAAAACAATGAGAGCAGAGCATTCACTGAGCGAAAAAAACGTAGTTATTATACCCTTGCAGAGGGTCTTATAATTATAATTTTGTCCAAAAGTGTGCAACGCAGTGAAGGAGACATCACCGACCCTATAAAATATAAATATTCTTGATCAGGATCGCCTCCTGAGTTGATATAAGCAAATCCGTCTGTCCGACTGTTTCTACGATTACTTGTCTCTCAGTTTTAAAGCTATCGACTTGAAACTTTGCACACACCCTTCTTTCCTTTGCACGCAGTATGTAAGTCGGGACGACGGCCGACGAGATCGGCCGACTATATCCTATAGCTGCCATATAACTGATTGATCGGAAATGGTATAACTTTTTATAATATGGACAGCTATTTAATACGACAAAATAATACGACATGCCAAATTTCATAAGGATCTAACTTCGCTAACTTCGAAAGAAGTTGATATACTCCTGCAGTTAAAACCGGATATATATCGCAAACATCGGATATAGTTGGCCGATCCTTATGAGAATATCATAATATAACCAATTTATTACAATACAAAATCTTAAAAAAAAGACTCAAGCTTCTATCTTAAAAAATACAAAAGTTGGTATTTTTACCAAATACCATTTCCAATCGTTCAGTTATATGGCAGCTACAAGATATAGTCGGCCGATCGTTATGAAATTTGGTAGGTCAGATCAACTGACCAAAAATAGAATCTGTACGAAATTCCAACGTTTAATTATTAAAAACACGAAAGTTGGGTCAATTCCGATCGTTCAGTTATATGGCAGCTATAGGTTATAGTTGGCCGATCCTTATGAAATTTGGTGAGTTTTATTATTTTGTCATATAGCATTTGTACGAAATCCGAACTCTATAACTCTAAAAACACCGGAGTTATAGCATTTCCGATCAATCAGTTATATGAAAGACGGACAGACGTATGTACATACTCATATCAACTCAGGAGGTTATCCTGTTCAAGAATATACAGTAGTGGACAATGAAATCCGGACAGGCAGAAAAAACAACTTTTTTAGTTTTTTTCAGCCAGCGTTTACTTAATGGAGTAAATTTGTTTTACATCGATGAAATTGATATAAATGTTAATTCAAAACATGTTCTTTTAAATTTTATTTTGTTTTATTTGGAAATAAAACGTATACTTCGATATTCGATGGAATTAAGAAAAATGTAGACAAACAAAAAAAATTTTTTTTTAACTATTCCTAGTTAACAAAAATTTTTGAAAATTATTTCTTAATAGCTTAGTATTTAACGTATTCAAAAATAGTTTTGTTTTGGCTCTTTAGTATTTGTTGGTCTTCCTCGAGTTTTTAGTAGGGTCTTTATTCTTGATGGCAAAAAATCTACCAAGTGTTCGTTAGT